TAACCTGGCTTTGCAAAAAATCAAATAAATTCAATTAAAATGGCCTGTATCTTCAACCTTGCATCTTGAACCTTACACACCAGACTGGGTTAACTAAAACGCATCCAAGACTCGACAACCGAAAGACTCCGCCAAAAAGCAACCACGCCCGAATGCAGAAGCATACATATTAGACTTCCCGAAAAAGTGGCACCTCATATCCTTCCAAAGCTACACTAAAAGTGGAATATATTAGAAATCTGTCAATTACATAAATAACTGTATTCTGTCAGAAAGATAGCTCAGCTTGACAAATTTTGCGTCTTAGATTCGGCTACGATATCGATCAACATTTGATAGTGTTCGGGAGCCGGTCGAAGTGGTTTTACAGAACCGTTTTTGCATACGGTGTCTTCCGACATTCAAAAAGTTTTTTTTGGCGGTATTGGTTTAGTATTTCTGCATGTATCGGTCGGTGTTCGTCACCTACACAATATGATGGACTTGCGTCCTTTCAAACAAGATTGTATATTATAAGGAGAAATTTTGGCTCGAATCCGTGTGGAAACACTCTTAGCGGCCGTACGCGATGTTAATTGAGGGTACACACATGCGCGGTGAGGGATGAAAACGTTTAAGGCGAATTTTCTATGGAAGCCGACAGCGAATGTTCGGCAGTAAACCAACACATTTACTTTACATACGTATCAAATGAAATGTGGAGAACTGTTGTACACAGCTTAAGGGTCCCCATACCACTGCCAAAAAACTGTTTCCATAGTATTGCAATTTCTTCAATAGATTAATTTCTGAAAAGAAAACCATACCTAGCGGGACTTTGAAAAATAGAGTGAAATAAACAAAATATAATCATTGTAAACAATAAAGCGGGACTAGACCAAATGAACCAAGGACTCCAAGATTGCTATACTGTCGCTCAACCGAATTAGCTACTGGTCAATGAAGTTGAACTGGCCCAAATGCTACAGTCATATCATATAAACCAACGAATGAGGTTTACTGTATATATACGAAAAACCACAGTGCAATGAGATCGACAGGGATCCTTAATTTAAATCGGTCAGGTCGGTGTCAGCGCCCCATTGATGAACACACGCTTGATCATAAACAAACCACAGCTTTACCCATTCATAACACGGAAGTACCAGAGGCTACTGTCGGGGTGTAGGTGGGAAATGTCCTTTTACGTCACGACCAAGAATGGCTGCCATTGGTTACCAGTGAAGGCACGTGACTGGTTGCTGTTATCAATTAGAATATGTATGTTCAATTATATCGATACCCACACACGAGCTTCAGTCTCGAAGTTAAGTCCTGGACACCGTTTTCATTGAAGCAAAGCGAACGGAACCTTCAGTATTCGGATATTGGTTCCATTGATGTTTTTGGCTTCAGGGAAATGACGATGTCAACCAATTCATTGATGATATTCAACGGTCTATGAACATCCAACATCACAATAAACAATGATATTTACAACATGTTACAAGTACTGAAATGGAGTCATACTTGTCTTACGAGGCACATAAAAGTACATACAGTGCTCTTGTAATTAATGTTCTCTCAAAGCATGGCGTTACAACATCATTTCGCAGTTTTTTCGTTCATAACAAATTTCATTTAATTATCATTAATCCGTCAATCCGTCGATATAATTAGAATACAGAAAACACCTTCTTTTTCATGGTGGATGTTTTGCTAAGCTAACTACAATTGGTAAGACGAACAGAATGCAGCATAGAGCACAAAGTGTTTTTAACCAAATGTTGGAGAGGACCCCCAAAATCCCCTTACCTATTAGAAGAGACCAAACCCCCTCCCCAAAACTTGGTGCTTTGCGCAAACGGCAGCATATAAAGTTGGACTCTTTTCTATAAGAATGTCGACCCTGATGCCCCAGTAATATAAACCGGTATGCCCATTAATGTCGGAAAACGTCACTACATGCAGAGGCCGCATGACAGCACAACAAATATTAATACTCCGATTGAGAAAAGTTTGTTTTAAAATGACCCCACAGGGACAGCAGGATTCCTACTGATCGAGAGAGCGTAGATTCGAACTAACTACTGATCGCGAGAGCGTCGATTCGAACTAACTACTGATCAAGGGAGCGTAGATTCGAAGTAACTACTGCTCCAGCGCGCGTAGATTCGACCTACCTACTGATCGAAGGAGCGTAGATTCGAACTAACTACTGCTCGAGAGAGCGTATATTCGAACTAACTACTGATCGCGAGAGCGTCGATTCGAACTAACTACTGATCGCGAGAGCGTCGATTCGAACTAACTACTGATCTAGGGAACGTCGATTCGAACTAACTACTGATCGCGAGAGCGTCGATTCGAACTAACTACTGATCGAGGGAGCGTAGATTCGAACTAACTACTGATCGAGAGAGCGTCGATTCGAACTAACTACTGATCTAGGGAGCGTCGATTCGAACTAACTACTGCTCGAGAGAGCGTAGATTCGAACTAACTACTGATCGAGGGAGCGTCGATTCGAACAAACTACTGATCTAGGGAGCGTCGTTTCGAACTAACTACTGATCGAGAGAGCGTAGATTCGAACTTCCTACTGATCGAGAGAGCGTAGATTCGAACTAACTACTGATCGAGGGAGCGTAGATTCGAACTAACTACTGATCGAGAGAGCGTAGATTCGAACTAACTACTGATCTAGGGAGCGTCGATTCGAACTAACTACTGATCGAGAGAGCGTAGATTCGAACTAACTACTGATCGAGGGAGCGTAGATTCGAACTAACTACTGATCGAGAGAGCGTAGATTCGAACTAACTACTGATGTGTATTAAAGCAAAGCACTCCAGCCCGATGCACATACTTTACTGGGAAGCAATCAGCGAAAAACGAAGGACCTTAAAAAAGGGATGAAAGATGACTCATTGAACTCATGCTGCGGAACCCTGGTCAAGTTCACCAGTGTAATGGACCGCTAGTTTCAGAAGGCCCGGAAACCTGGTCAAGTTCGCCAGTGTAAAGGACATCTAGTTTCAGAGGGCCCGGACACCTGGTCAAGATCGCCAGTGTAATGGACGTCTACTTTCAGAAGTACCCGGACACCTGGTCAAGTTCACCAGTGTAATGGACTTATAGTTTCAGAAGGCCTAGACACCTGGTCAAGTTCACCAGTGTAATGGACCGCTAGTTTAAGAAGGCCCGGAAACCTGGTCAAGTTCGCCAGTGTAATGGACCGCTAGTTTTAGAAGGCCCGAAAACCTTGTCAAGTTCATCAGTGTAATGGACGTCTAGTTTCAGAGGGCCCGGACACCTGGTCAAGATCGCCAGTGTAATGGACGTCTTCTTTCAGAAGGCCCGGACACCTGGTCAAGTTCACCAGTGTAATGGACCGCTAGTTTCAGAAGGCCCATGACACCTGGTCAACTTCACCAGTGTAATGGTTCGCTAGTTTCAGAAAGCCTGGAAACCTGGTCAAGTTCACCAGTGTAATGGACGTCTAGTTTCAGAAGGCCCGAACACCTGGTCAAGTTCGCCAGTGTAATGGACGTCTAGTTTCAGAAGGCCCAGACACCTGGTCAAGTTCACCAGTGTAATGGACCGCTAGTTTTAGAAGGCCCGAAAACCTTGTCAAGTTCATCAGTGTAATGGACGTCTAGTTTCAGAAGGCCCGGACACCTGGTCAAGTTCGCCAGTGTAATGGAAGTCTAGTTTCAGAAGGCCCGGAAACCTGGTCAAGTTCACCAGTGTAATGGACGTCTTGTTTTAGAAGGCCCGGACACCTGGTCAAGTTCACCAGTGTAATGGACGTCTAGTTTTAGAAGGCCCGGACACCTGGTCAAGTTCGCCAGTGTTATGGACGTCTAGTTTCAGAAGGCCCGGACACCTGGTCAAGTTCACCAGTGTAATGGACGTCTAGTTTTAGAAGGCCCGGACACCTGGTCAAGTTCGCCAGTGTAATGGACGTCTAGTTTCAGAAGGCCCGGACACCTGGTCAAGTTCACCAGTGTAATGGACGTTTAGTTTCAGAAGGCCCGGACACCTGGTCAAGTTCACCAGTGTAATGGACTTCTAGTTTTAGAAGGCCCGGAAACCTGAATCTACACAAGCAGTTTTAACTTTGATTCATTAAGTAAATAAACAAAATAAATGTATTATACGTCAAAGGGTGTGTATAGTGCATTGCAGGGTATAGTTAAATATTTTACTCGGTGGGTTTTTTCGGATCTTAAGTTAAAACATCCTCGGGTATTGTTGAATTAATTGAAATTGTTTGTATGCAATGTTGCTTAACTACGTATTACATTTACATGAAACTGACACCGCCGCGAAATTTATTAATAAATTACAGAATTTAATTTATAAATGCTTGAAGCCACACCGCAAAATTATGACTGGATTCGGTCAATGTCCTGTTGCATTCTTTCACCCAACTACTGCTATATAATCTCGTATGCATCTGACCGAGAGAGATGATGCCTAACTTTGCATAGGATATTATATATTGCAAACAAGGAAAATAGTTTAGCAGTATAACTTCCGCCCCTCCCCCTCCTCCCCCTCTCTCTCACTTTCTTTCACTCGCGTTCTAGGTCACCCTCTCTCAAATTCAATAAACATATACCATCTTGTCAGTGTATACTACTAAATATTGTAAGAAAAGACCCTTATCCAGTTGTACTGTGTAAATGGTATTATTTGCGAGCGATTAAATTTCGATATTTTCATCATCACAGATTGCGCAAAATTAAATACACAGCGAAAATAAAAATAATACCGTGAAATATTATGATATCCCAAGACTATACACACGCACACAAGCAACCTTTATACACTGTAGTCTTATTATTATGTCAACTGCATTGGTATATCGTCTTAAGAGCGTTGTAGAACGCATGTTGTATTGCCTCTAAATTAAAGTTTGACTTGTTCATTTCTCTTGTTCCGTTGTGTGACGTCAGAACGAGAATTTTCAATCAAGCTCATACAACAGTTTGTATTTTTTATTTGCTTCGTAGGTCTTTCCAACAAGAGCCGTCATTTTCGTTCACACAGTCCCGTCTTCGAGGAATATGTACGTCACTTGTTCGCAGGACCGTGGTTGGACAGCAAGCTGTCACCTACCCATGCTTTCGGCCAATACCAGGAGTTGTACCACAATTTGCGCGCCAAAGGTAAGTACTGTTGCACGATTGAGGGTCAATGCAAGTTTTCACTCACTGAAGCACACACCCAGCACTCGACCTTCAACCTGTCGCACTTCACACCGAGGCACTGTCTGGTGTTGCTAGGAGATCGTTGCTATGGTTACTATTTTCTTACTCCCTGTATATATATCCTACACATACAGAGCGACACCTGGCAAGGGAGACTACACGACCTTGGCTGTGACAAACGCAAACAATACTGGAGAGAAAACAGACACTGCCTCGGCGAATTCATTGAGGTAACCGTACGCCCGCCAACCCTGCCGGGCACGAGGATATTTCACTAGATACTTTCAGTATTTTTTAAACATGATATCTTCTGCACATTATGATGTGTTGAACACACAGGCGATTGCGAATTCAAAGAGTTTTGCCAAGTCAATTCATTTTCTTCAAGTTATTATCGCGTGTCAAACCGGGTTTCAATGTTTAGTGAATAGAATACAACAACGCCATATTCAATATGAAAATATCTTCAAAAGAAGGAAGACAGAATCACTTCCATACCATAATTGTTAATGTTTCTATGAAAACATGTAATATTTCTTTCACGATTGGTAGTTTGGAGTTGACCAAAAGTTGGCAACACATTTGAAAGGAACACAAATATTGATGTAAAGGGAAATGCAAAGATGACTTTAAATTTAACAATTATTCTAATTGAAGCGCTTTCATGACGATGACGATTCCGCGGTCTTAGCGTGTGTTATGTAACGTCATCAGTAAAACTCTGCAAATAGAATCGCTCAGGGTCATAGCATTTTTAGAATGGAAGGTTTGTGACTGGTGGTACATGCTTAGTATACAGATGCGGTATTTCGACTGATTTATTCATGAATGTATTTCCCTTTGTCCTTACGTTTTCACGGTGATACAATAGGTAACAGAAGCACTTGCGTGGTCGCAATTAAAAAACCCACGACAAACTTGAACTATTTGTAAAACAATATTACCACACTTCTCATCAAGTTGTAAGAAACTTTGATAGTGCTTCATGCATTGAGAATGATTTTGATGAATAAATCTTATAGTTCCAAACACCATGGACAATTAATATTATGGGGAAATCATATCGCTATAAATGGATACTTAAAATAGAAATGCTTTGCAGAAACGAGGCTGCTGGAAAAACCTATACACAGTGGGCCCTGTTGATTGTTTCTATTGTTTTCCCTGTAGAAAGACGAGTTCAGTTGTTGTTAACACTGTGTTGCGGTATCCCGTCGATCACACACAAAATACAGATTATCTTATATAAGTTTTATCAGTTAGGAATGCATACATTTTTGACAAATATTATTCAGCGAAATTTAGAATATGTTGCTAGCGTGTTATTGTAGAAATGTCCGCTTTGCAAGTGAAACTCAATTTGCGACAGTATAATCCCGATATGCTGTCGTAAATATCAATATACCGTAGGGCTCTCCATTCAGCAGATTACAAAAAAACACCTCAACGGGTTTTTCTCGTCGATTGTTCACAATTCTGGAACTTTATGATGAACTGATTATAAAATTTCCGTTCATAAAATTATAATGTTTATTCCAAATATACTTGCCTTACACGAGATGCTACTTTACGTTTCCATTGTGACCATATATGTTTCACCTGCATGATATATTATATGATGACCATCTCAATCGGGAGACATTTTTTTCATGAGTGAACATAAATATTTCATAAGCGGTCACTCCTAATATTAATAAAAATATAATCTTTGTTTTGATTTAAACCATTGTGAATAAACGTTGGGTGTCTTAAAGGGAGTGTTTACGTCTTACAGTTTAATGTAAACTAAAATTGTTCATTATGTCAATACACTGTCATGATTGCAATCAAAATACAGTTTAATCCATATACGGAGTCCCACTAAATTCTGGCCGATTTGAAAATTTGACATTTAACTCGGATGTGGAAGTTTAACCTTTAAACCAAATGTATCAAAACGTTCCTTTTCTAATGATTCACCGTGTCTTTTTCAGTCCCATGGGTCTGGTCTGTCAGGGGCTGGTCCGCGCTCCACGGGCCGAGTATATGCGTGTTCCTACTTGCTGTCCCGGCTGGAAACGAAGTTCTTCTGGCGCATGCGTAAAACGTAAGTATTAAGCTTATATTTTATCACATTGCACGCACAAAGCATGATCACAAGAAACGCAAGCACGTGGATCACTGTCTTGTATGAAAGTGTATGTACATGTATGTAACATCGGAGTTTGCAATCACTCATGTATCAAAATTTAGATGATATTTAGGGATTTTACTTACCTTATGTATTCTTTGCTGCAAAGTGCAAACTATCCTCTTCGAAGACACTTTCATTTCGCAATAAACCGTCATCACGAAATACAATTTCACCAAAAACAATCCTTATTCCCTCGAGTTGAAAGTATCAGCTTTACCAAAAACGTTACCACTAAATACAATTCTTTAACTTTTATACATTGTAATTTTTTTGATAAAATCTTGTCATTAGTTGAAAGTACACAAAGCTTCCATGAATAACATATATTTAAGGGAGATAATTATCATATTTAAGGGAGATAATTCTATATACAAATAACATATTTTTAATTCTTGAGGTAGCATGTCAATATGTTGAACAGTTCTTTACAAATACACCTTACTTGATAACATAATCGAAATATGTTTGTGTCTGGCTCGTGATCAGTATATCAACGTTGCTTTTTTATGGGTGTTGCTCTTTCTGAATGGTTGTGTTCGTCAACTGTATCCGATATATATATTCATACATAACGAATCCGTCGACAATGCTTTATATATAAATATTTATCTGTATACTGTTCTATTTACACATGCTCATGATTTAATTGTCTTTATATGTTTTTGTTGTATAATTGGACCTCGTCGTTTTCTCGAATTCGTTACGCTACATGTATTTCGATTACTATTGCCATGATCTTCAACCATACGGCAATACATTGACAAAATTTCTCCCTTGTTATGATTGATATATTACATCTTTTTTATCAAGATGCTTCCCTGTTGTCATTTAGAGGAGAAACGTTATGTTTTGATATTGAAATTAATACAAACAGTTGGTGTTTTTACCATTTTCATAAATTTTCATTTCTGATTTTTCTTTTTCGTTTTGGTGATGAAAATGTCCTTGACTTACTGTCATGAAAAAGATAAAACAACTTTTTCATATTTTTTTGATTTTGTTTAAAATTTCATTTGAACAACTGAAGTTAAAAACTCGCCCAAGTAACGATAAAACTACCTTTTTTTCTCTAAGAAAACGTTTTTGAAGTTAAGGGAAATATCTTAAGTAAAGTAAAGGAGTTTTGTCGAGTTAAGAAATCTTCGTAAAACAGGAATCAGATTAATGCAATTTTCTTAAATTTATTTAAATCTCGTCATATAAAAAATTCGACATTGATCTCGAGATGTCAACAAAAATTCGAGATAACAGAGTTCTGCCTGATTTTGTGTGTAACTTTGTATATTTATATATAGATTTGTGTTGCTTCCTTTCTCAGCATGCATGCATCACGTGCTGTCGTCAATCTGGACGCGCATTCGACAGTTAGCTGCACGAGGTAACGTTTTGTATCAGTGCGGTTAGCAATTTAGCTCAAACTTCAATTTTGAAATGTAATCATTTCGAAATATAAAGTGTTCATTAAGATTGTTAGTTGTGTGTGTGTTTGTGTTTTGTTTCACAACTTGTAGAGATAATTTTTTTTTCTTTCAGCCATGAACTTTTAAGGTTAAACAAACAAATCTGGTCAAATTGTCCCGAAAATGTATTTTAACTGTAGATGTTTGTGAAACCGAGGCTCGTTTGACCTAGATTATTCAATTAAAGTTGTAAAACGTGTCCTTTCATAAAAGCAGTGTTATCATAAATGACCTTGACATATTACAAACGTTACATAGTGCTTTCAATTTACTAATTTTATACCATGTCAAGATCATTTATAACATCAAATGTTATGAAATGACAAATTGTCTCGAGGTCTTTAATTAATCTGTAGGTCACATGAGTCTCGTTTTAACATTTACATGCTATTAAAATGTGTTACCGAGACATTTTATAACCACTTTTTGGATCTAACTGGCAACAGTTTTCTTGAATAGAGGCCAGCATGCCTTCCACATCTAGTTACAAGTAACATTAAGCTTCGATTGACACAGGTATTAAAATGAACTTCAGAAAAGGTGTCATTTCGTAACATTTAGATCGGTAACAAATCAATGCATCAGCCTCAATGCCTTATATCATACTTAACTTAATTTTTTAATATCATTTTAATAACTTACATCACATGCAAGTCCAGTTCAATATATTCAATTTACATATCTCAACCCCGATGTTGAAGGTACCGACAAGTTAATTTCCCGGACTTTAAAACAAATCTTATTCAATCGTACACTGATTTATGTGTATTTTTAAATCGCAGTTGCTTAGAATATGCGTATAATAATTTGTTTGCTATGAATTTAATATGATTGAATAAAACAGTGGGAGGACAATATATGAGACAATATCTACACATTTTGAAATTACAAGTAATATGCACCGGGTCATACGGTTTCTATGCATGTTCACATAATTGACTTACTTTTAAATTTGTTCAAGAAATTACCCGAACCTTCAATCTGATTAAAATCATATGTTACATGGCTTCGTTAACTTCGTACTACGACTGAACATCTGAGTGTGCCGCGGTCAGGGTCACGTTCAGGTGACCTTTATATTTATAAATACTCATTAAATTTTGACCAATCACAGACCCTCTTTCAAAAGGGCGCTCGGAGTTGTAACAAATATGGCGGACATTGATGAGAATGATGCGAAAGTTCTGAAGTTATTTGAGATTGATCGTCTGAAACCCGAACAGAAAGATATTCAAAGCTGTATTAGAGAAGAAAGACTGTATGGCGGTGTTGCCTACGCAATTATTACCCAATGGGTACGTTTTCCTTGGCGTCGTAGAAACGTCAGTTCCCGCCGCCAGATTTGTTTTGGAAAACTAATCTGTTCGATACCTCTCGCTATTTATCAATCAACCATGATATTCCGATTCGCTGGCAAACTTTTGCCAGCGCGCCTCTGATTGGTTCATCTAAAGGTCACTTGAACGTGACCCTGACCGCGGCAGTAACAGATGATTTTAATCGGATTGCCGAACCTTGTGATGCGCCGTTATTACAGATATAAAAATCATCTGTTTTTTTGTGTGTTTATCAGACTACATAAGCATGGCATTTGTATCTAACAGCGAAACAGGTGTTCGCCCACACATTTAACGAAATCTACATACAGAGGGCTCACGTGAATTAAAGACTGGATTTTATTGTACCTTAGCACTTATCTGTTGATAATGAGTTTAAAGATATACTAATGAGCAGTTATAGCGTTATCTATTTATTCATTTAAATCGGTAAAAAAACCATAAAGCTGTTTTACTTCCAGTATTTATATAATTGGTTGGTTGGTTGGTTGGTTGATGGGTTTATAGACTACTTTTCACGGGCGAAGCCCGTGTTCTGTCGTCTTGAGGGGGTAAGACGCCAGCTTACCGGGCCCTCGGTGATTTTAAATACCCTTGCCCGTTCAGGTCACGCCCTAAGGTCGGTCAGCTCCTTAGATGCGGATAGGCTGTCACAGTTACATACAGCACGTATACGGGAGCGTGGAACACGTCCTTTAAACAGCTTCACTGTCTGTCCTCCTATGATTTATATAATATCTATCTCTTTAACTTATACTGAATTGATCTCTATTTATGTGGTTTACAATTTATCTTTATTTATTAACTATTTAATTTAACTGATTCATGATTTGTGTCTATATGTTTATGACTTAACTCTATTATATTTATGGCTCATCGCTTTTAAGCATTTATTGAACTCTATTTTATAACTTATCAATTTACCTATGGTATTACTCTATTTCTTTACAATTTATCTCTATTTATCAATAATTTATCTCCAATTATAATTTATCTCCTTATTATGCCTTTTCTCCGTTTTATTTATGATATACAGACTAAATAACTTGCTATTTATTGTTCATCTTTACTAATCCAACGACGACTCGACAGGTTTATTGTAATGACGTAAGAACTGTAACAACTTGTTTGAGTTTTCAGTTTCCACACTGGACGTCAGACGTTAGGGATTTCTTTTTTATACGAAATGTTACGGCCAATTTATCATATTTTATACCGTATTTTTATCGTTACTGATCTTTGATATACAATGAGAAATAAGTAACAATACTGACAATGTTAAGAACAGCGTATACAGAAACCGCCCTTGTTTACTGTATAAGAAGTATAATTGATAAAGCTTGTTCTATTAGCTGTTTTTTTACCTGAATCATGTCGGGAGTACACGAAGGTCGATGTACGGGTTGTCCGTACGAGTATTTACAATGCTTAACTTACATTATATGTAATATTTGGACAAAAGTGTTCCCGACCACATCCTGAACATGATATAGAAGTGCTAACCCACACCATGGGATGCGCACATTGTTACACGATTTAGTCAGGACAATCATTTATTCTGCACATATGTATGTCGAAAATCGTCGATAGTGGAATCTCTTTTATGTCGACACATTTATTTCCTGAATTATAATGACCGAAAAACATATTTTGCTCATCAATGTCGGGATAGCCAGTATTCCAGATCGATGGGGTGTTAAACTCACCCAAAGGAAGACATGGGTCTTACAAAAATCTTAAATATATGTCACTGTATATAAAATGCATTTGAACATATATCATTTTAAATATAATTATTTGGATCACCATTTACAGTTTTATTTAGTATCAGCCGGAAACACTCGATCATTTCCGCTAGTCGGAAAAGCCCGAATGGTTCCGATCATTTTTAGACATGGTCGCAATAACGGCATATGACGATAGTTTTCAAAAGAGCTATTATGGAAATGATAAAAACAGTAAAACTAAATGGATATACGTTGTAATAGCTTATTATCAGTGTACTGGGACTGCATACTAATTTGGCCACTTCGTACAACACATGTTGCGGGATAAAGAAGATCTTTTATTTCCCAGAACCTGCATAGGGACAGAGGAAACATACACATGAAAGAAATTCGATTCTGCAGCATTGTCCACACAAGTGTCGCCTCTTACAATCATGTAGTGGGAAGGAGCAGACTGATTCGTTTTCTTGAATCCCTGCGATGTTGTTTTCCCTCAAGAGTCAATGTCGTAGCACGTACAACTTTTATAAAAGTACATAACTGTATTCTGTAAGTTTAAGGGGTAACACATTGACCATTGATCGGTTTTTCTCAGTGCATGACCGAAAGAGTAGACTAATACGAGACTCCTGAAAAGTCGGCTGTTTCTCATATGCTGTTTTCTAAGGGATAATTGATAAGACAAACAAAATCCCGTTTAAGTGGTAAATCGACAATCTTTTAAAAATGATTTCTACTAATACATACACGTTAACACTATTTTGAGCAATGGTCTTTTGACCAAACAGTTCATTGATTTTTTTTCTCATATTTCCTTCCTCATTTTTATAGGCGATGAAGGCGAACTAATTATACAGAAGTCGTTACAGCCGAAGATTGGATCGACACGGTCTCGTGCCTCCGCAATCACCATGCCCCCGATGCCATCTTTAACCCCCAAAATGCCACCCCAGATACCATCCATACTGCCTCAGCAGATGACAGCGTCCCAGATGGCAGACCGAATGTCTATACTTCGAAACCAGGATATGATGCAACAACCTGAACAGAGAATGGTTCGAAAGCGTCTGGAAGATTTGACTCCCTACCCCTCATCCAATGCGATGAACAACAGGTTACGTATGATGTCCACATTCCGGAAGTCTCCCCTCGCCAAGTACGGTAACTCTATGGCGCAATGGGCGCCTCGTGCTATGTACCTTCGTGAAATGCAAATGGGATTAAAGGCTGCCGAAAGACTCATTCAGCGGAGAGCCATGATGATGAGGAATCTAAACAGACAAATGATGCTGGGGAGACTGTCATTCTCGCCGCCGAACGTATTCAGAAGTATCATGATCCCCAAAGGTCTTAAATTATTACATATAATCAGAACAGTGAAACCAAAAGTGGAGAAGACGGAAAAACCTAGAATTATTATCACCAAAAACCTTGAACAAAACACTGCAGCACCTGAACCATTCCCAGAAATCCCCAAACGGGAACCGGAAGTTGGATTGCCACAGACAAACACAATTATGGGTAGACTGCCGCCTGGCATGTTCCTCCGCGGATTCCTCCCCAGTGTGATGTCCTCCAAAGGGGATGGACCCACACCCATTCCCGATATATCGGCCAACGAACTTCGTCCCAAACCAAACTTGGACATTGTCCGCTTCCCTACACTGCCCAGGTTCCCAATAGAGATGCCACCAGTCCAAGTACAGCCTGGACCCAACTCACCATTCCACAGTAAGTATTGGAGGCGACTCCCGACCTCTCCAGTCAAAGATATAGATATATACCTAAGTCATTACTCCTGGACAGAAAATATCTAACACCTATCCCTTCAAGTGAAGTTAGCTATCTGGTCTGTTGTTACTGAATTGTGTCAAATACTCTTTCCTTACAGTACAATTGTTACTAAGAAACTATTTTGGAAGGAATTCGAAGTGGCATAAATTTCAAAATATTTGACAAATAGATTATCTTAGTTCGCATAGGTTTCAAAGAGGGTCCATGTTGTCTTTCTTTTTGTTTTAGCATCTCCGCATTTCCTAGTGTTGCCTTCCCCTTTGTTTTGATGTCCCCTCAGTTCCTATTAGCCGAGTTGGAGTTGTATGTTGATACGATTATATGTATTCTCCCTCTGTTTTACTTTATGTGTTTCACACATTATGTCGGATAGTATTTTCAAATTAGTGGAAAAGATAGCACATTTTTGTCACCTTCAGGTATAGTACATTGGTATAAACAGTTTTCTAGAAGACAACTGCAAAGTTCGGAGTGTGATAAAACCCTTATGTTAGAAAGAACGTGTTATGTTAGTCCGGCCGTCTAGATTATAAAAGACTACCCTTGTTAGTCCGAAGCTTTTTACAAATTACAGTTACAGCATATGATAATTTACCTGTTTTAGCCCCAACGCCGCCACAGTCTTGCTTCTCAGAATACGTAAAAATTGTGAAGAAATGTCTGAAGGATGCCAATGTAGAACTTCCGGCTGCGCAGAACTTCCTGCCTGGGAAATCCAGCTACGACCAAGGAGGTGTCTGCGAGTAAGTAAAGGCGGGTTCAAACTTTTGAATAAAGGGCGATAACTCGGGCTTTAAAAATATATCGTTCTCGATAACTTTTCAAGCATAATCACATGCATGAAGTATTATATTTTGCAATTATGTTTATGGGGATTAGTTTCTAATGATTTTAATATATGCATATAGTGATATGCGTTTGGATGACATCAGTAAATAAATGACAAAATAATCAAAATCAACGCAATAACTATACTGAATATGGTTGGCTTATAACATGGTAAATACTTTGCAATGAATATCTCATCTAAATCTATGGCCATAGTTTATATTTATTATATCCAGATAAAAAGCCGTATGCTTAATAAATGGGTATTACAAATAGCCCTTATAAACACCGATCCCTGTGCAATTCAATATCAACTTATACATTTTGGCGAGAAAATCGAAACTAGGAAATAATTTTCTTTCAATATGACGATTCATATTATACCATCCAAATATCACACTAATCTTTCGGGACAGAGCAAGAGGTGGACGCAGAAACCCAGAGACCCAAACAACAATGATATATAATATAACATTATTAACATGCAATGTGGTTCTCTATTTGCAGGAAGAAACAGATGATAACCGAGTGTATCGTCGGTAACCTCCGCCCCTGTTCAAGCTTCGCTGAGCAGGCCCTGGTCAGGCGCACATTGGCTGAAACCTTAGCCGAAATGAACCGGGACTGTCGCCTTCACGAACGTAAGGCGGGAAAATGTGGTAGAGGGTTGGGGGGTACTCCGGTTTTTAGGGAAACGTATATTTTTCTTGCTTCGATTTGTCGAAAACGGCACTTTAATACAATACATTATTGGATCTAATTCAAATTGTAATAAAACACAATACACTGTAGTAAATTCAACACATTTTATTCATAGATGTACTAGGAATAGGGACTGACATGTCGGTCTAACTGTCTGCTTGTCTGTCTGAAGGCAGGAGTTTGTTGATTGATTGTATGTCTCCTTGTATTTCACATTATAAATAGAATTTGCTATATATTATTGTTTTACATAGGGAAGGGCGTCCAAAATGTTCGTGTAACTTGTGCCCAATCCACTTGCTTTATGTATCCTGGCAGTAAAATATGTTTAAAACTAAAACGCCGTGGTATTACCGCTTAAGAGAAGGTTTACCTCAGAGATTTGAGCAAATTAAGCAAACTGAAATTTAATGCTTTATAGGCCGACATAACGATGATGCATTTCTTTGTTACAGTCGAGTCCATTGAGAGTCGTCTTGTGGGTGAGATCCAACCAGGCCCGGATTCTGTACATCACAAACTGGAGCTCCTAGAGCCCCTCCCACAACCTACACCTGCTGATGACGTCACTACCGCCACACCTAAACCTGAGGTCACCACCGAGGAACCCAAGACGCCAGTTGATGATGTTGATGATGATGATGGTAAGAGTTAAATTAACAAATGATAAAAATGTTAGTCATTTAAACACCTCATGACAAATTTTTCACGACACTGCACATTTTCTATTTTCTAGCTTTAATCATCAGTGGAAGGGGCATAGGCCTAACTCTGGGCGACTTTTAATTACGGGATAAAAGGTCATTACTAGGCGTGCTTAAATAAATGAGCTGACAAGAAAAAAGGCGATATATTATCAAGATATTGCCTAAGCATTGAGAAAGGGATTCCAAATGGGAGTGTTTTCCTGTTTATCCAAATTATTCCTGATTTTGGGCTCATATATATTTGTACATTGCTACTACACATATACAGTTACAACACATTTAATAGCAAGATTATTGCCATTTTATTTTTGCACTTCCGGTTCCTGTTTTTCAGATCAAGCCCAACCGGAAGACACTCCTGATGCCGCCAGTGCCATTGACACCAGAGATCCGACTGACCCGAACACTCTTCACCACACACACGACATACAGATGGAGGAACTCGCTCCCGAGTATTACCTTCCCGTCCTCATAGGCACGGCTATCGGTCTTGCCTCTGTCATCCTCCTCCTCAGCGCCCTCTTGTGCATCTGCTGCAGACGAAGAATAAAGAAAAAGGTTTATATTGAGCGACAACCAGAGAAGCCAAAACTGCTGGACGGTGTCTACACAATAGGGGTTCCTCCACCCGTTTACGAGGTTACACATGGTATCCCTCACATCTCATACGAGGAAGCGAAGGGTGAAAAAATTACCGGAAGTCCATCGTCTCTCAGACGTCACAATATCGAAAACGAGGCGTACGAACGGGTTGACGGAACAAACAGGAAGGGAGTTGTATCCGACATCTAAAGTCTTGCTTTCTAAAATTATACTTAGTTAACATGTTAAAAATGATGCTTGTCGGCCCTTCCTCCATAATACGTGACATTATTCACTATGCAGTGTACAGATTACCAGCACTTGACGCCATGGCGTGACCGTAACGTGTGTTGTACGTCCCAGGACGTTTAAGGTAGGAAACTAGTATTTTGTAAGCTATATATAGCGTCGTCATAAAGAGTTGTACTATAGAGCTTCTTCTACTTTTGTTTTGTACATGTCACCGACTACATCTGAATAAAATTTCACAAAAAAAAACACGTAGTTTTTATTTATATATTTTTCACGTTGATGATAAAACTACATTTTCAAGACTTAAAACATTTAACGCATACGACTTTGAAAGTTAATCAATGTCATGAACTTCAATATCATGACTCAAGACCTTTCACGACAACATGCTATAAGCCAAATAGCATCATCCTCATATAGGTTCATTGGTTATTAAGAAGAAATCGTTTAAACATTTCATTGGACCGCAATGACATTGAAATTTTAATAAAAGCAATTTATGTCAGCAAACTTGATAGCCCTTCGTCAGATTTTAACAGATATTACTCGTTACTTTGAATATGGGTTAGTGTAATTTATTTTAACAAAATTGATAGCCCTTCATTTCAGCATGTCACTGGCAACACATCACCACCTATAGGCCACTTGGTTATTCAGAGGAAGTTGCTAACCCTTGTGACGAAGATTGTTGGTGAAGGTTATTCCTTTGCAATCTGTGTAAGGCTCCATCCCAGGAAGGTGCTAGCCAAATATCATAATACGTTTTTAACGCATTTGACCCATGACCTTTAAAGTACGTCAATGTCATTTTTTGTAGCTTTTTGTCTTGACTCCATATGAAGGAGCTACTAGCCTGTTATCATAACAGTATGTCATTTTGGACAGAACAGGAAGCTACAATCCAAATATCACGACTTAATGCATTTTGGTTCATCAGGTGAAGTCATTTGAAGTTTTTGATATATTTGACCTCTGTTGCATTAATTGTAGGTCATGGTCGTTATTTTTGCAGTTTGGGTTCCTTTCAAGGACGCTACCAGCTGTTTTAAGACGGAGTTGACGAGCGCCGCGTCACTACATAAGCTCACGCGCTCTTGTTATTACACAGAAAAATAGAATAAAATTAAACACACTAGAATACTGATTATAGAATGATAATTCAATATACCTAAAAGACAACTTCAATCAAACGAAAAACAACATAAACCAAGAAAACAAATTCACAATCAATTTATTGCTGTGTATACCGTCATGTTCCTAGTATAAATGATCTTACACAATACTTATCTAAAAATAATAACTTACAGTCAGTGTTATTGTAGACTAAAAAAAATCATTTTCTGGTTCATATATTCTTGCCTAACGCTTATCAGAAAACCAGACCGAAAATAACACATTGTATAATAAAACAATAAATGTAGGTTATCATGTACATGTAGTTGTAAAATAAACACCGTCATTATTTACTGAATCTTCGTGGTAGAATTATGCAAAATTGTATACATCGAATAAGTTAATGAATATAAATTTAAACCTAAATTTAGAAACTAAAAATCCGGACTCTCCTTTTCTAAACTACAATTACCTTTATCCTTAAGAGTCCTTCTTTCAGTTTAGAAATGGTCTATCTAATTTTAATAACGGTTCCAAAAAAGCCCACGGTCTGCATTCCCATAGAATCTGTCTTCTAGGTCCTACAGACTGAAATTTGTATGATATTTAAAGTTATGAACTTTAAATTAATCTGACCCCCAATCGAATCTGTCTCATCATGGAAATCAGATTAAAAATAATAAAATGAATTGCCGAAAGTATTTTTGAATGACATAATTTAGACCAACAATTTTGCATTTTCTATACGGAATTATACATGACATCACAAAAGATCGCAAATTTCAAATAGACTATTTACCGGCCAAGAATAATTCAATTATATAAAAAGTATCATATTCTGTCTTCCATCATCATTATTTATACGTTTGTTTAAATATTTATCAACATCAAAATACATAGTGTCCTGTATTGAAATGAATTTGTTAACTTCGTAAATGGCCCTGGACGGAAAATGAAAACAGTTTATGTACAAAATGTAAAATATATGTAATACTTGTTGACCAATAAATGTTACTATCAATAAAACACAATTAAAATGCTTTAAAATATTATATAACAATTGTAAATGTGAATTAGACTTCTGCATAATTACAGGCCTGTATGTATATCATAAAGGTAAATAGATTGTACACGCCATGTACTATCTGTTAACAACCAAATATTACTCCAAATATCAACAGATATCTAATACTTTAAAAATTCATATAACAATTGTAAATTTGTAAAAGAAACTTACAAAATGAAAAATTCTTAAAGTCATATAATAAAGTTGGTAAAAATCTTCACCGATACTGTTTTCTTAAAAACGTTCGCCTCAATAATCACCAAAGAGAAATTCTTCCAAGACAGAAATATCAATATACTGACTGATAGTGAGCTTTCGAGGCACATTGTTAAAAAGAGATGTACTAGTATACAATAACTTAAAGATATAAAAAAAGATTTATGTCTACTTAAATTTTAAAATCTAACCTTTACGATAATCTTTTGAATTCCGAAATATATGACTCGTGTAAAATAAAGATATGCTTCAAATTTAAATCTAAATTTTGAATTTCGAAATGCCATTTTTTTCCCAGTGTAAACATTCTGAAAACAAATTTCCAATGAAATGTTCTTTGTTTTACTAGTTGAAGGATTCCTGAACTGTTGAACTCCTGATATATAGTTAGCGGCGCTCTTTCCGTCCGGTGGTATGTTTGCTCAGACGGCTGTAGACTTTCCGCTGCTTTCCGGTGTAAACCGTTCGCTCACTTTCGTAAGGAGAATCACATAATCCGATTCAAAGTCCTCATCAAAATCATCTCTGTAATTAACAACAAACACGGTTAATTACCATCAATGTGTATATAAAATGTATTGTATAATGTATAATTATTTGGCGTGGTAGATATTTTGATACATTTCCCTCAGAGAAAGATTTACATACAGGCTCATAGAGCGACACAGCTAGTGGTACTCCAACAGAGTTAGAGGTTTTACACGGCGAAAAACTTTTGACAGGCGCCGCGTAACCTCTAACTGCCCATAGCTGATTTTCCCGATGCTGACGATCACATTTTCAAAGTTCGGATTTAGAAAGAGTTTATCGTGTTTGCATACATTTAAATGGTCAAAAGGGTCCAATAAATATTCCTTTCCATAAACCATGATTATTTGAAAAAAATTCGTGTCAAAGACATAAATAAGGAGTTTTTCCTCATTCGAAGCGAAGCAGACAGCATTTGCCATGATTTTTCCGGTTAACACAAAAATGGATTACATGTAATGTTTCACAAGCGGAATACAAACAAACTACGTATCATTTCGTTCCGTTTGAAATCCCCCTGCTATTTTGTATTAATCCAGGAAGCCATGTTTTAAATGTAGGTCAGAGATGTGCTACAACGACATGGACATGTATTTTGAGTGTTTTATTCGGTAATATACTATATATTTGTGTCTGTGACATACATATGATATCTTTATTATATAAACCGTGAGTAGACATCGTTGTCATGAACTGTTAACCACTTAAGTGAGTTTTTCAAGCCGATTTTGTTCCGCCCGGATTTCGGGCGGAAACTGCATCAAAGAATAAGCGCTTCGGAAATGAGAGGTCGCAGTCGGCAAAATCATATCCGATAGAAAAAAGGCCGACCAGCGGCCTCTCATGTTATGGGAGTAAGCTAGTGGAAGTTTAAGAGTGAATGTCTGCTGACTAAGACGGTACGTACTCTGTCACCTTCAGCAATCCACGTGTAACTTCGTTGGTATCAATTTACGAAATGAAGACCAATCGACCCAGTTACTATTTTTAACTGTAACGATGGAGAAACTTGTCAACAAATTCAGGTTATTCTGAAAGATTTTTTAAAAGACATGTAGCTGGGTTTTGTTGTTGTAAAAATAGATAAATATCCGGTAAAGCGTTTAGTACTTTAAGTCGAAATCAACATACCTGCTGGAAAATAGATGAGTCAGTGCACAGCTTGCTTGGAAATCTGTAAATTAAGATGGTTAGTCTTGAAAACACGAACAAATACGTTTTATTACACGGAAACTGTAGATATCTGATTAAGCGATGTTTAATACATCTTTTTGGTTACAAGTATAATATACCATTTTCGTCCCTGCGTACTTTTTATTTGTAAGTTTTACAAATAGTTGTATATTACATTCGGATGCATGGGTACCGTATGATATGGGGATGGGGAAGGGGTAAAGAGGGCTTACTTACTGTCATAATACACAGGCATAGGGTCAAGTGTAGGCAGGGGCAGTATCACAGGTTCCTTTGTAACCTCTACGTCACTTCCGCCCAGACTCATTGGCCGTTCATGGTCACAGGAAGTTTGATTCTCCTCTTTGGTAGAACGGGACTTCCTCTTCCTCCGCCTTTCTTTCTTGCCAGTCGGAGGTTTACCCTCCACCTGAGAATCATGCTGGGAGACAAGCCCACTCTTCTCGCTAAACTCTCGTCGTCTTCGTTCCTGACGAGACTCTTTTGGTCTCTTTTTCTTCACTGTTTTCTCAATGGGCTTATCAGTTTCGACAACGGATTTGGCCGTCTTGTAATCGGATTCGACAGTGTTGAGATTGCATCTGACCCTTTTAACATCAGGTTTGGCTGTTTTGATGTCGGGTTTGACCGTTTTGATATCGAGTTTGACCTTTTTGACACCGGAATAACGTTTCCTCATTGTATTGCCAGAGACTCTCTCGACCGTTTGAATGTTTTGATGAGAGTCCAGAAATTCTTGCAGCCGTCCATTAAACATTTCGAGATTGTTCTTAAATCGCTGCCTCTCGGCTCGGTATATCTCCTTTACCTTGGCGTAAGAACCGTCTTCTTCTGCGTGACGTTCACTGTAGACCCTAGATGTATGCTCGGAGGAATTTTTGACCTTTTCCCTTGCAGTTTTGGATGTATGCTTGGATTTTCCCATGGCAGTTTCGAGTGCATTCTTGGAATTTTCCAAAGCATTTTCGAATGCATGTTTGTACTTTTGTAAAGCAATCTTGGAGGCATGCTTGGACGACTTGACCAAATTCTGTGTAGACGTCTTTTTCGACACTAAAATTAAAAAAAAAAAAGTGTCGATTTTGTTCCAACATTATCTTGTCTTTGATGACACTGACAGTTCTATAAAAACAACAAATATGATGTCATCATTGTCTTATATTTAGTTTCAAGTCATATAACAATTTTTCGGTATTGCAGAAAAATGTGACTACATTATCAATCATTATAATAAAGGATTACTAAAACTAATACATACCTTTGTCTTTCATATAATACCCCGTTACTCGGAGTACGGAAGCCTGCAATAGAGAAAAAATATGGTATTACCAAACAGCATCGTAATGACCAAACACATGCGGACCTCGGCTATATTTCTGTATTTAAAGTTCATCGACGTAGTCGGCTGGTAATACAACGTTCGTGAGAGCATCCCAGTGTTTAATAAAGGTTTAACATATTTTCATGCAGACGTAATTTAAATTTTAAGTTAAAAAATAAATCTTCATCGCTAAATCCTAAATATTTCCTGTAGTATCTGCTTACCTCATAGATCTCTCTTCGGAGAGTCTGAAGAGCTGGAAATAATCAAGAAAACACTATTCAAAACTATTGATACAAACTCAGATATTGTCAGTTCGTTTATTGAATTTTTTTTTTTTGTACTGATTGTTTCGCTTTCGGTTCTCAAAAAGTAGGGTGCTAGGAAGGCAGAACTTTTATATAACAGACTTGAGATTTGATATTTTTTACATTGTTGTTTGTGTGTTTGTTTTTACCAAATAAATGAGAGAAAAATAGACTAGGCTAGGTCATACAATCTTAGTGGATAGAGAATAAAGATCGAGTTTCTGCTTCGGTACAATTCCAGTACAATACAGAAATGTTTACAGATGGAGATTACTGTTATTTCAGTAAATATAAGTACACGGTTCACAAAATATTTTACCATTACGTTAATTTCTAATGAAAATTCCAATTCGTTTTAGTTAATTATCCTCTCTTCTACACGTTGTGTACCTTCATCAATCGGTAACCGTCGACACTTGCCGTAAACCAGGAGGTATTTTCTCGTTTAGAGAAAAGCCGACGGTCTCACTCATACTGAGAAGGGGAGATAACCACATTACTCATTACAGAATCAACTTACCAAGCTGTCTCTTTCGAATGTTGTCTTCAATCCTTTCTAAACTCATATCCACCATCTCGGTAGCAACGAAAGGCTGGAATTAAACGAAGAATACAAATACAATAATGGACTGTCAGATCGAGATTTGAAATCATGTTATCAGTTCAGATATTTTTGTGGGATTAATATGTTCCTGTAAATCCGCAACAAGAACCAACCACGGAGTCAAATTTGTGGTTAATAAACAATGGTTGCACATAATACAACATATACCTGCTTATAATTGTTTTAGGGATTCCAATACAATTGACGAATTAGATTAAATTTAACTTAAAAGTATTTACCTTTGTTTTGAAATCTCGCTTAAAATCCTCCAATTCTGAAAAAGAAATAATAGACATATTTATTTCGGGCACATATAGTTTTGTTACGTTTCAAAATAGAGTAATACTTTATACTCAACCCATAAATAACGAATATCAAGTGTCAAATTATTTTTAAGACATTCTAATGCAATTTTCAGATTGTTAGATATCTTTTCAATGGTTTAACTAGATATCTTTTCAATGGTTTTACTAGATTTCTTTTGAATTGTTTTACTAGATATTTTGTCAATGGTTTTTCTAGATTTCTTTTCAATGGTTTAACTAGATATCTTTTCAATGGTTTTACTAGATATCTTTCCAATGGTTTTACTAGATTTCTTTTCAATGGTTTTACTAGAGTTCTTTTCAATGGTTTTACTAGATTTCTTTTCAATGGTTTTATTAATTCATTNATAATTCATTTATTAATTTCAATATTACGGTTCCATTCGCTCTTTGACAAATGTTGTGTCATCCTGAAGTAGCTCTGAAATCGTTTATAAATGTTTGTTTCAAAAACATCTTTGGAGTCAAAGAGAAGAAAAATGTATAATTTATAAGAGTACGCTTGAGTAGACTTACCGTACATTTCCCTAATAGAGTTTTTGTTCAATTCTTTTAATTCACATTCTTCTTCCTTAGTGGGACCAGTTGCCTAGAATATAAAATCAAGATAAAATATGAAACCAGAAACAAGAAAACAAAATAATGATGCATTCAATTCTCGTGACTTCTGACCTCTTCTATTATTTTTTGGCTTTATGTTGTTGTAAATTTCAAATGAAATTTTGCTACACATTTTTCGTTATTTTCATTTTGATGTTAACATTGTTTTACAATGACACCTGTTACCATGAAGGACTTACCATGCTTTTATTTCTAAACAAAATTAGGTCATTACTGGATCTTTAAAACTTAACTCAAAAAGTACCCCTTTTTTGAAAGAGAAAATCATTATTTGCATCTTGACATAATAGTTTACTTACAGGACAAATTTTCTGTGCCCTCCTTCTTAGATCTACAAATGAGAGAAAATGAACTGTGTATCAACAACAATAAGCAAATAAATCAGAGGAAACATGACAGTGCTTTGATTTAAATACCCAAAAAATATTTTCCCTTTTTTTTAATGATTTATTCTCAAAAAAATAACATTGACACGGTGTTGAGATCACATTTATGTTCAAACGCGAAAATAAACGGATTTTTTTTTCTCCGTGTTATAGTACAGCCTCGTTTAAGTGAAAAGCGCATCCGTGCCTGTAATACAAGTATACACTCCTATGTACATGTAGCTACAGTACAGCTTCCATGTATAGTTCCGGTACACTCTAGATTCAGTCTAGTTTCATGATACTTTCACGTTTCATCATAAAGCTTTAGTGCATTTCCTACACAACTACGTGTATATTACTTACTTTGCCTGTTTTGTGTCCTTCCTGATAATTATCAATATATTAGTTATTTAAATAAACTTCTCAGTATCTTTCCTATGCAGTCCGAGGTATAACTTACTTCGTCTGGACTGTTTGACATCCTCCTCGGCTGTCATCAATGCTGCAAGTTCCTTGTCAATTTCTACATTAGGCTGCAGTGGAATAAAACAGAATGTAAGACGGTTTATACAAAACAATCGGGGGAAATAAAACGACACGGCCCTTCATATCATGTATTATTAATCTTAAGTCGAGACACATTGACATGTTTCAAATATTATTCATATCAATGCACGGACCCCCTATACACTCATATATATATATATATATATATATATATATATATAGTGTAAAGGCAGACAAATGATCCTTACATATAGGATGATAAAGGACAACTTAGAGTTTTCAGACAAAATTGTATTCAGTGAACTTCAATGTTTTCACAAACATTGATATGAAAAGGGGCATAACTCTAAAACATTTTGTCCAAATTCGATGACATGCGATCGCGAATGGGCGTAATCTCATATAATTTCTATCATGCCAAATTTGTATTGACTTTGTTACCATTTCGAAACAGTGCTATGTAATTAAGCATGCTTATTTAGAGTAAACATTTTAATGGAGATAGCTTAGTTGAACTTGGCAAAGAACTGTAAAATTGCATTTGATATTCATAACACCTCTTATAAGAAACAGTAGTTCTTACCTTGAGAGTGTCGATCTCCCGTCTGTAGTCATCATACACTACACATACAAAATATAAAATCAATAAAATAGCTTAAAAAGAAAGTAACAAATAACCGATAGCATTATCAATAAAAAAAATGTAAAATGATGATATTTTCTTCTTTGTTTTCGTAAGACTGAGTTATAAATATGCTGAACAGTAATTTTAATTAACATAGCAGAATTACGCATGTGTTATAATATAACAGCACTAAGTCGTTACAAATCTTAAAATTACAACTTCGTGGGTTTTTTTTCTGTGATATATATTTTTGTTAATAATTTCATTAATTGGTATACAATTGAATCACATCTATTGGAGCAAAATCAATCAATTTCAGTAAAGTTTTCCACACGAAAGTTAACTGTGATTTTAACATACATAGAAGTATAACAGTCAGCACACACCCAGTACAAAACTTAACACACTAAACATAACTTACAGCAATCATCGAGTTTGCCGGAGATTCTTTTCAATTCATTCTGTACTTCCGGAGTGGGCACGTAAGCCTAGAATTATAATAAGAAACTAATTAATTACTACTCTATCAGTGGGCAAACATTAAGATATTCAAAGTTAATTATATGTGTGTTTACATGCTATATATATAAGTATTGTATGGATATTTGTGTGTCTGTAGGATATGTTCAGTTCAGTACAAGGGGATAATTCAATATTTACCCTTGTGCAATCGTACTCTGTAACACTCTTCTCGAACTTCACGGTATCTGGAATTAATAAGAGCGTAAATGGTAAAAAAATAACACCAATCAGTCACAGCTTCTGGTCAGTCACATCTACTAGTCACAGGTTTATGCTGACCAAAGGTAATGGTTATTCACATACGTGTATCGGTCACAGGTAATGGTTATTCACATACGTGTATCGTTCACAGGTAATGGTTAGTCACATACGTGTATCGGTCACAGGTAATGGATAGTCACATACGTGTATCGGTCACAGGTAATGGTTAGTCACATGTATTAGTCACAGGTCTATGCTAGTCACAGATAATGGTCAGTCACATGTAATAGTCACAGGTCTATGCTGGTCACAGATAAAGGTTAGTCACATGTATTAGTCGCAGGGCTATGCTGGTCAAAGATAATGGTTAGTCACATGTATCGGTCACAGGTCTATGCTGATTACAGGTACTGAATGATTAGTCACATGTATCGGTCACAGGTCTATGCTGGTCACAGGTAATATTTAGTCACATGTATCGGTCACATATCTATGATGGCCACAGGTAATAGTTAGTCATATGTAACGGTCACAAGTCTAAGCTGGTCACAGGTAATGGTTAGTCACATGTATCGGTCACATGTCTATGCTGGTCACAGGTAATGGTTAGTCACATGTAACGGTCACAGGTATATGCCGCTTGTCACAGGTAATGGTTAGTCACATGTATCGGTCACATGAATATGCTGGTCAAAGGTATGGTCAGTTACATGTACTAGTCACATGTCTATGGTGGTCACAGGTAATGGTTAGTCACATGCACTAGTCACAGATATATGCTGGTCACAGGTAATGATTAGTCACACGTATCGGTCACAGCCACATCGTGTACTGGTCAAAGTCGCAAATACCGGAAGGCCTATACATTTTTATGACAGGTTTTAATATGAACATGTTCCAGAATGAAAAAAACCCCACCGAAAACATTACTGAGATTTACAATGATTTCTGTGAAACCACAGGGGTTCGTTACTCTATTGATACACATTTGATATGCTGATATGGGATTCAGTAAGCTCTAAAGTAAACATGTAAGCATTTGTAACGAACCCCTGTGTTGAAACTACGAAGGTTGAAGCAGTAAGGCTCCGCACACTACTCTCTTTCCTGTTGGAACACGTTTGTTTAATTCCCGTTAATGTATAGTTAACATATTAAGATTAACATAAGTTCTACTTACCATCCGAAAAGGACAAGACGCTTGGAACGCTTAAATTATGCCGTGTATTATTCATTTTGTCGATGTTTCGCCATTTCCGCCCAACTTCGTAACTTAGCGCCGCGAAAACTCACGTGATATAGAAACAATTACGTCACGTGATTAGCAAGATCACATGACGGGCGAGTTCTATCCAGACACATATGAGGTCGAGTTCGATTCAGACAACCATTTAAAAAAGTATATATCAGACCAATTATCGATATACAATGTATATTTAATTTGTGCGGGGTCAGGGATTAGGTTATCCGTCAGTTACTTTGACGTAGTGATCAGGATTTAACAGGATTTAATAGGAAAGGTAATGGACGCAGGCACTGGATGCCTCTATATCAATATCTTATAACATTACAATGTATCTGGATATCATAAAATATTATTTGTCTCTTTCGGATATCTGTTTTTAACCAGCCAAATGGTTGTATTTAAGCTCTAGGTTTTGCCAATGTTTGTCTAAACTCATTTCGAAGCCTCTTAGATTTGTTTAATTTGTGACATATTCGGGAAGACCGTTCCAAATATCGATAGTTCTGTAACCAAATGAGTATTTTCTAACATCTAGTCTTACAGTATTTTTTCTTTAATTTCTGTGTGTGCCCTCGCGGTCTTGATGACGTTCATCGTAGAAGATGTTCATCAGCTTGTGTACATTTATACATGTTAGTGATGGAAATCCTACACTTTTAAGACGATCACTGTATGGTAGGTCCTTTAGCCCAGGGGCCTGTTCGTTTATGCGGAACAACCGGTTTGTCTGATTTTAATTTCACGTTTTCATGTATAAATCCTAGTGGACCTGCAAATGTTGACGCAGGCATTGAAAAGCTTTGTCAATTCTTACCTGAAAGAACCATCAGATTACTAGGTCCAACCTTATTTTATAAACGAACATCCCTGGTCCAACCGGTTCAACTGCTTGGTTCGCAATAAACGAAAGCGGACCAGGTATCAGTTTCGTTGCTCAACGCTGCACTTTTTCGATTGATGATTCCAAGTGTGGCCTGACCAGTGCCTTGAAAATCTGTTTGAATGTTATTTCATCTAAATGTATGAAGGATCTTCTGATAAGCCCAAGTATACTGTTTGCCTTGTTAACGGTTTGCTTTATGTGTGATGAAAAACTGAGATCTTCGTCGACCATTACCTCTATATCTGAAATTTTCTCATGTTTTTTTTTCTTTCAATTTTTCAACTCCAGATCTTTTCAGAATTCGTCAAGTTCGTCTAAAAAATATAATGCTCAGCCCGGCCATGTGGTACCGACATCGTTGTCCTACCACTATCAATTTTCCTTTTAACCAATGTTGGGTAACATTTTCTAAATGTATGTGCGGTCAATCACACATTTTCTATAAAAATCAAATTTATATATATATGGGCATGCAGTTAAATATCACGTTCTCAAATTCTAAATATGAGAACGAGTTATCTCTCTTCTACCATTGAAGACGTTATTGCCCCGACTACCAGAGAAGAAAAATGTAATTTTTGTCCGTGTGGTGTCTAACTTACTTTCATTTAAACATTAACACATTCTTTATTCAAAACCTATTTTTAAATCATTGTGTCCTAAATATCTATTCGTAATGTACCCTCAAATGCTTTAATTTCCATTGTAAAAATATCATGTGTTCAAACTACAAAAGAAGGGGCCCAATGGACCTGTATTGCTCACCTGAAATTAATGTCAAGTCTGTGAGGGAACCAAAGTAAAATCAAATCAAATAGTCAAAATTAAACTGCAGGCCAAATAACTTTCTACTATTTTGAAGAGCTTGCAAATGATTTTAACATATTTGATCCATGTGACCTTGAAGTGAATCAAGGACATTCGTTTGAACAAACTTTGTAGCCTGCTATCCAAATATCTTCATCCAAGGGCCTTGGCTAAGGAGAAGAAGTTATTAAAAGATTTATAGACAGCTAACCCCTATGACCTTGAAAGTTGATAAAGGTCATTGTTAGAACAAAGTAGTCCTTCATTCCAGCATGCTACTGGCTTATTATAATAATCCTGGGCCTTTTGGTAATTGATAACATTTGTTCTTTGTGACCTTGATGTAGGTCAATACCATTCTTCTGAGAAAAGATCGTAGCTTTTCATCTGTGATGCTACTGCCCAAATATCTTCACCATATCTTTTTTGCTAGTTAAAAAAAGTTGATAACAGATTTTAATACACTTGACCTTTGACCTTAAACATAGAACACGGTCATTCATTCAAGCATGCTACTGGTCAATTATCATCACCTGGGACCTTCTGGATATTGAGCAAAAGTTGTTCAAAGATTTTAATACATTTGACCGTGGTGACCTTGAAATTTGGTCGAATTCATTCATTTAAACAAACTGAGTAGCTAGCCAAAAGTAATCACCCAGAGCTGTTATTGAGGTGTTAAAGTATTTTAATACTTTTTACCTTAATAGACTTTGAAAGTAGGTCAAGGTTATTCATTTGAACAAAGTTGGTAGCCTTTCCTCCCAGCGTGCTACCTACCAAATGCCATCACCCTAGGGTTTTTAGTTATTTTGATGAAATTGACTTTTTTTTAACATTTGACCTCTGTAACCTTGGAGGTTAATCAATGTCATTCATTTGAACAAGCTTGGTAGCCCTTCAACTGAGCATGGTACTGCCCAAATATCATAACCCTGGGCATCTTGGTTATTTAGAAGCAGTCTTTGCACAAATTGGACACACTTGACCCATGTGACCTTGAAAGTTAGCCGTGCTACAGACTCTTCCTCGTCAGTTAAGTTTCCTCAGTCTTTACTTACAACATGAGAAACATCTTACATCCGAATATGTCACAGTTAATGTGATCTTCAGGAGCTTGCCATGCTTTGAGAGAATCAGGTTTTCTAGATGGCATCATGATATCATTAAAAAATATTCTGTTTCCTACAATATGAACATCAACTTTTTAGGTCACCTGTGACAAAGTCTCAAGTGACCTATTGCATGGCCTTTTGTCCAGCGTCCTTAAACAATTTACATTTTCGACTTCTTCTCAGAAACCGCTGATTCGATTTCAATAATATTTGGCAGGAACCTTCCTTGGTCAAATATGCACCAAAGTTGTGAATTATATGGTTCCCACCCCCAGGGGCTCTGAGAGGCGGGGCTAAAAGAGTCAAATTGGCTTTAATTTAAAAAATCTTTTTCTCCAGACCCAGATATACTGGAAACCAATACCTTTCATAGGTGGAAGGGTCTTAAGGTACTTTATCAAAATTGTGAATTTCATGACCCCCGTTAGCCCCTGGGGAGGGGGTGAAATTTACTATAGTTAATATAGGAAAATGCAACTTTAGGGTATATTTTGTTCATTTTCTACTGGAAATCATTCAAACTTGATTAACATTATAACCATGAGATGACAGTTTGATACTTTGACATTTTTAACCCTGTCTCATCTCCAAGGGGCTAAGGGGCCGAGCCCAGATGGGGGCATATAACCAGAAATTTCAACAGTCATCTTCTCCAGACTGAGATAGGCTGGAAACCAATACTGGTCATAGATGGAAGGGTCTGGAGGTGCTTTATCAAAATTGAGAATTTCATGACCCCCAGACTCCATGTTTTCCCCTGGGGAGGGGGCAAGGTTTACTATAGTTTATATAGGAATATGATACTTTTTGGTATGTTTGGTTCATTTTCAATTGGAAATAATTCTAACTTGACAGACATTATAATTATGAAATGACCATTTGATACTTTGACAGTTTGGGCCCGGGCCCGGGCCCGCCCCCAAGGGCTGAGGGGCGGGGCTAAAATGGGTCAAATTGGCTTAAATTAAAAAATCTTATCCAGACCAAGATATGCTGGAAACAAGTAATCTACATAGATGGAAGGGTTTTAAAGCGCTTTATCCCCTGGGGATGTGGTAAAGTTAACTATAGTTATATAGAAAGGGGGGGAGGGGAGGGGGTTAAGTTTACTACAGTTTGTATAAGTAATTGATACTTTTAGGTATATTTGGTTCATTTTCAATCGGAAATATTATAAACTTGATTGTAATTATAACCTTGAGATGACATTTGATACTTTGAAGAGTTACATAACTCAGGTGACCGTTAAGGCCCATGGGCCTCGTTTTACTAACTATAGTGTGCCTCAAGGTTTCATGGTAACTTCATTGGTTTTCACTTTGAGAATGGTGATATTACTTGAATTTGATTTAACATTTACATTATGTGTGTCAGAACACCTGGTCTTAATCTTCTTGTTCTTCTCAAAGAGTCTCCATGTTAATGTTTGTTTTGTTCATATTTTGCTATAGTTTTGTTGATTTTGAGTGAAAATTGCATGGCTTTTAAAAGCTCACCTGGCCAGTTAAAGATCTGAGATCTATAATTCATTGCTACATCAAAATATGCCAACACCTTCTGAACACTAAGTGTAAAACTAATTCCTTTTCACTTTTCTTTCATTCAGTCTTCTAACCTATTTTAATCTGATTTTGTCTTTGCCTCAATTCCAGTGGAACTTTACCAACTACAAGATATACTAGGTAGCAATGGTCACTTCTCCCACCTGGCCCTCTTGCATTCCCCTATGATGATCTCCATTCTGTATTTCATTGTATAACAAACTTACTAACTAGGTATAAATGGATATATATGATTTTATGTAAATGAGTACCAGTATAGGTATAGTGCTTGTACCAGTAAACACCGCTGATGACAAATTTAACAGGTGAAATTTATATACACAGGTGAGTGAAAACATGACACAAATCATAAGGAAGCAAAATTTTATTGCTTATAATAATATAACTTCAGGAATGTCGAAAAATAATAAATTTCATAACAACAATTATATACATATTCACTAACAATGCTGGATGAGCTGAAATTTGCATAATGTATTGAAGATAGATTCTGACAACAGGTGAAAGGTCAAACAGGTCATCTATCAAATAGGCCATTACACTGTATACATAGGTCAGTCTGATGAAGTCATCAGGCTAAACAAATGGAAGATTTGCTCGGTCAGGTCAAAGGTCCAACAGACCTAGTCCATATTTGGTCAGATTTGATAAATACAAGTTACAGCATGAATCATTTATATAACATTAAAGCAGTAGAATGATGTATGAATGTAAAACAGTAGTAAAACAGACCACACAACAGGATTTTTTTTAAACAAATATAGGAATGATATTATAAAATCTGGCTGAAAAATATTGTTGTTCTTTCCATGCATTAGCAACGTTAACATGGCATATATATTTGGCATTGAAAGAAAAATATAATGTTAAAAGAACTTAACAAAGATAGTATGACAATATCAAATAGCTAACACTTAATCTTAATTGCTTTTTCTTCTAACACAGGATTTCAGCCAAAGCATTTAACTCATTTTTAACATAATCAAAGTACAGATGAACTCATTTTACCATTATCAAAGTACAGATGTACTCATTTTTACCATGATCAAAGTACAGATGTACTCATTTTACCATGATCAAAGTACAGATGTACTCATTTTACCATGATCAAAGTACAGATGTACGCATTTTTACCATGATCAAAGTACAGATGTTAAAACTATTTTTACAATTGCTGTTCTAACTTCTTTAGATGTACTATGCCAATTAAGGTGCACAAATTTACCCCGCTCTATTTCCTGTTCTGAAGCTGCATGTGTGTTGTATTTAAGTTATCAAGTGTAACTTTACCGGATTCCCACCTGATCAGGTGTTGTATACAAATATAGGTCTAAACAAATCACAGTGTATACTGATCCTTCCTGATTACCTTGGTACCTTTAGATACTTCTACAGAAACTATCTACAGATCCTAGTGAGGAACAGACTAAAGTCAGTGCTACAGAGTTGATCTGAAAATTGTGGAAATACAAGTACTGCTAAAGTATGCATGTTTACAATATCAACTCTGGACATCACCAAATGAAGTCAGAAAGTAATATTTAAGACTTCTACAATTCAAAGGGGTGTGGCACATGTAGATCACAACTTAACTGATCCTTATATGTGTGTATTGACCAAGGGTTTTGGATCTGTGCCATGCCTGTAAGTGCTACAATTTAACTTGTACCGTCTCTTTCTATTTGTTTATTCTTTTTTAAAGTAAAAACTTTAATTAGTGCAGCGTACATGTTTCAAAGCGGTACTTTTTATCTAATGAACACAAGAGGCAAAATTCACAACCAGTGGTAAATACAATAAAAATTTGAAACAATTTTAAAATTGTGTAGCACAGATAATAAAGTCCTAACCACAACTGTTCCAATAGAAAATACATTTTCTTCTGGGTACTTGCATGTATATAATGTGTTCTGTTACGATGTTCAGTGCTTTGAAGTGACTAGCCTTAACCTTTAATATTGTAGATGACCTCTAGATCCATCTGCAGCAGGGTCAATGTAATTGAAAGCTATGGCACTTGTAACAGACCGCAGAGGCCAAACACACCAGGAAATGGTCGTGTAAATATATAATAGTTTTGATGTGTCTTGCCAAGGTCCCATGCTTGTCCTTTGGATAGGGCAGATGAAAATATTAAGACATTGATTAAAATTTTACCCTTACTAATAGGTAACTGTGACCTTGACCTTATGGTGAACATTCTACAAGTGGAGTGGAAAACATAATCTAATCACTATACCATTGATCAAGAAATATTTAACAAAATCAGGCACAACCTTAAGAATAAGAATTTTGGGGTTACGGAGAAAACATTTTTCAACCTTTGACCTCTTGTTTGTATGCGAGTCCTGAAAGTTGTATATGGAAACTGCTTCTATAAAGCATGATGGATTATAATGTTCAAACGTATTGGAACTGTACATTTTTTGGGGGAAAATCCTCTAAATGAGTTCTGAATGTGTTTGCCACACTATTTGGTGATAATACAATCATCCAGGAGTTTCAATGAATGAATGACACGTTCATCAGTTGACCTGTTAGTTTGACCTTGAATCCTGAACATTTTATCGCACAACACTATTCCATAGTTTACAGTGGATCTGAAATTAAATAGATCAGTTGACCTGTTAGTTTGACCTTGACCTCAATGTCCTATAATGTATAAGCACCATATCTCCACAGTGCACAAATGAAATCAATGATTTTTAAGGAATCCAAACTGACAGCTTGGACAGATAAGTTGACATATTATTATGGCTCGATAAAAAAGGGGGAAAAACCATTCATTTAACCTCTGGTTCTGACTAGTCTAGTGTTAACACATACATCGTTAAAATTTTAAATTTTAGGGACAGAAAAACAGTTAACGGACAAACAGTCCACTAGACAAAACATGTAGCATCTTGTTGTAGACTTGCGTATAAAATCGTAAGATTCTTATCAAAATATTCCATAATCACACACGAACTTATAAATAATGACAAATGTACAATGTTCTATTATTCAACAAACAAAAATGACACTATCAATGACCTTTTCAAATGACTTTCTTTCACAGTTCCGCCCTACATGTGTGAAAAAACATGGGACATCGGACGATTCGTTTACTCTGCTGATACAAAAATGATACCTTAACGACTTGACGTCAGAGCAAGTCTATTACTTGAGCATGCAGCCGATAACTGAACATTAACTTTCACCTCAATCTCTCAACCATTAGCAATCAAAACCTATCACATTGGTACTTAAGATGACTGCCTTTCTAAACATTTGTTCCATAAGAAAAAATTGCACATCAGTAATATATTACTTCAAATTCCTTCAAAAGAAGATAACAGCCATGCAAACAATGACAGCTATGTTTAGGTTTGTAATCAAATATCCTTCTTACATTACAATTAATCTCAGTGAATTTCTTCATGAGGGCAATATATATTGTATCAAGCCAATGTACTAAAACACTTTGAGACAACAATCTCATAGAAAATACTTTTTAATTTGGCAATATTGTCAGAGTTTGGCATTTTCCTGTTATTTTCTGTAATATTGTATTAGCCTTGTGTGTGTGTCTTAGAATATCTGCTAGTGCCTTACACTTGCTTGCCAACCTTTAACATTTCTCACAAGGAATGAAACTGCATGGCAGAATTTTAACATGTGTAGAACGTACTCACATACTAAGTTCCATTGATCCTATTTGACAAAATGATAATATAAAATGCCACAAATGAAGTCGAAACTGAAATTGAAACTTAATTCTACCTGTATATAGGTATGATATTGTACCTGTTATTTATGTTAGGGTTTAGGACTTACATGCTTCCTTACACTTTAAACTTGTAGAGTTATCTCCCTTTATAAACTTTTCATATTTTGTAGTATAAATGTGGCGTTGTCAATAACACCCGACACCCGGGCATTTGTACCCAGTATCTACCAATAATGTGACCCCCTATTTTCTGTCAAAAGCTATCTATATTTAAACCTTATATTTAAACCTGAGAAGTCCTGGAATGTCAAAGTAAATTGCCTCCTACATTTTTCTGATATGCCTCAAGTTCTCCCCTTCTTCTCCAAACGTTATTGATAACACTTTTTATGAAAATCCTTAAGATATCTAGTACATAGGTTTCCCTTCAGCCAGAACAAGAATAATTCCGGCTCCCTGTGCATTAGCTTAATGCATGCAGGTAAGTGTTCATAAGACAAATTTTGTAATCAATTTATCCTTCAAAATGAAAAACGCAAATTAACTTTTCTGCAATATAGTGTGTCAAGTCCTCCCCTAAAAATGTCAATAAACATAAACAGTAAAACTGAATTAAATTATTGGCCTCACTTAAATTTTTTTGTTCAGGGAAAAAATGTGCTGGGTTTAAATTTTACACAAAACGATTCACAATCAATTGTCCTTATCAGCAGGCCAACTAGGAAATATAAGAGCCCTACATTTTACCAATTTCAGTCCACATCCAAGATATTTTAAAGTATTCCTTTAAGTATTTGTTCGCCAACAGTGTACACCCATGTAATCTCACCGATATTATTTCTTTACAAGACAAAATCAATAAATTAAACAATACAGAAATAATAGAAAAACTCTACGACAAAGAAATATGACAATAACTGTAACACATAAACATGACAATTTCTACATAAGAACAAAGACAGTAAAGAATTATATATATATATATATCATATATAAAGAAAGAAAACATCTGAAAGCAACTAGGTAGAAATTTTAACTCATTCACCCCTGAAATTTCACAACGAACTATTCCAATCTTTCAATTGGAAGAGTTCAAATGTGTCTTTAGGGGTGAATGAGTTAAAGAGAATAGAAATTTGGCAACATCTCACTAGCTGTGACTATATAACATGTAAAGACTTTGACTATACACGGCGACTAATTTGTCCACGAGTGTTACACACACACATTCACACTGTAGTAGCTAGTGCACTTAAATTGATACCACAACACAATATTAGAAAACTTAAGTCAGATCCAATAGGGGCTAGGAATTCTCAGCACATATGTCCCCATAAAGTCACCCTCGTAAAAAATGATTGGGAGGGGTGGCTGTCTTTACCTTGTTATAAGGTATAAAGCTCTATAATTTTACACTAAAGCAGAGTGTCCTATATATTTCTAGACAACCGTAGATTATCAGAACCATCTGGGTAAAACCATTTTACTATGGGTTATATGAGTTATTCCCCTTCCTGCGTAGATCTGTCTGAACACTTTAATGTACAATTTTCCGAATTTTATCACCAATTAGGAAAACTTGACATCTCATCTGAAACCTTCTCTGTACAGATGCATGGACACAACTTCGCATCTCTAAAACAGTCTATCTGACTTTTAAAAATATATTATGTTAAAATAACTGACACATCAGTACATCACAGTTATTCCCTCACAGTATCTCTATCTCTGTCGGACTCTCTGCCGGACTCTCTGTCAGACTCTCTGTCGGACTCTCTGTCGGACTCTCTGCCGGTCTCTCTGCCGGTCTCTCTCCAGCACACACTTTTACTCTGTCCAGCTCACTCTCACATTCTCTCAAAATCAGCTTTTAAAAACTTTTCTAAGTAAAAGCAAAAGCTCTTTTCTCAAAAGTGCGACATTGCTCCCACAGGAAACATAATGAATGTAGTGCTGGGCCGCCATTTGGCAAGGCCATGATAACAAGGTGACAAATTTAATGACAGAATAATTAATATCTGTCATGGTCATACTAACACAAGCTGATATACTCTCCAACCACATGAATCATCTTGGTATACAGTATGTACATAGGACAATGAAAGGCACCAATATCCTTCATAAACGATATTAATCCAAAATCACACCTTCTAATGAAAGTGTATACCAGTGTGAAGTGTTTTAATGGATTGTTCACCTGCTGCAAGGCTCTTGTAGATGTCAATGACTATGTCCTTGCCATAAAAGGTTTTGGCCAATCTGTTGCAAAGTGACAAAGTTTTCTTTCCGTCACGTTACATATATCGAAAGAACTGATTGGTTCTCACTTTCTGTTAAAGCTGGCAACATGAATATTCATAAATATGCTCAAAGGCCCTTTTTGTTTTTTCCCTTGTAAAGTTTACTTGGGGCCAGTGTCATCGCTTTGCCTTTCCATTGCTCGTATCTTTCTTCATGAGATTGCGTAGCTTGACAAGGTTTTGTTTGGTTGTGGTGTCATCAGGTTTGAGTCTGAGGGCCTCGAGGTAACTGTGCTCCGCCTCAGCCAGTTTACCATTCAGGTGTAACATAGCACCCAGGTTCATGTGAGCTGTCGCAACCTGTAACAATCAAAATCATTCCTGACTTTCATTAATTTACAATCCATGTTTAACTTTACAGAATACAAACAACATATAAAGTGGGTTGGAGGGGAGGGTGGATGTTTGTGGGATGTTGACAACATTTGTTGAATGTTAATTGTCATATACAGTACACTGTAAGGCAGGACATTTCTGTCATTTCATTTTTTGACTTTTTCAACCCTGAGCAAAAAGGTAAATTTAACATGAGGTGCAAAATATGTACCATCAGCATAATATATATGGCAGTAAATAAGTGTTAATAGGTGAATGACTTTAACATAGGCAAGCTTTCCTTTAAAAAGCACCTGAGATAGAAAACTGACAGTGCCCAAAATGTTGCAGCTTACAGCATGGCTGTACTTTGAGAGTTAAATACATCAAATCTTATTTTATATTAAAACAAAAAAAGGATCTTGAATCAACACTGAGTATCATATCTGTCATATCTCAATAAATAAATCCAAACCATATGGTTATGATGACAAAAAGAGATGTCAGACGACAGAATGCTTTGTGAACTGTTGTTTTGTGATAACAACACATGAGTTCACTTACATGGGGTTTGAGATGAGCTGCCCGTCGATAAAGGTCCTCAGATCGACTGTTGTCCTGAATTTGTCTGCAAAGAATGTAAAATGTTGAAAGAAAAAACCCACTTTAAAGTAAGTAAACTACAAACACCCTTACTCAAAACACAGGCTGAAAATTGTTGATCATATAAGTGTATCCTGGCAAATAATTGTTGGACACTAGTGAACTATCACAGTCAGATGTAGTCTAAAGCAAACCACTATCTGCATTCCTTGGGGTTCAGATTCCTTTTACAATAAACTTCAACTGCAGTAAAAATACAGCTATAGCACTATTTTGCTTTGCACTTATATATGTAAAACTTCCATGTCAAGATTGATCAAATATGATTTTCAATCGTTGGGAAGAGCATATTTAACTAGGAATTCAACAGGCTATAAACAGGCTGAGCAGTTACTGTTACAAGTTTTCATGAGAGTAAATAATATTCAATTACTTTCATATGGTATTGAAAAAAACTTATTTGAGTGAGCCAGCCTTTGTAGGAGAATCCCTGCTGTATAAAATTGTCACCAACCTAAGGATGTTAGCTGCATTAAAGACAACCTCGAAGTCATTTGGCGCTCTCTCCACAGCGGCTAGATACATCTGGGCGGCCTCCTCCAGTCGGCCTGTCTCTGCCATAAACTGAGCTGTAAGGATATACAATACATATAGGTAAGACTATACTCTATCAATTTACCCTATGATTTTGTTTCTAAATATAGCCATTACCAGTAAACATTTAATCTGTGGTATTTATCACTGATATCGGAAAAATGGTCTAAGGTAAATTGCTTTTTAAGCTTGTTAATATTAAATTAAACAGAACTTATTCACTTAATGAAAATGGTTTTTTTCACTACTGTGAAAAAACATGTATCAAAAAAAAAAAAATCCCTTTTGAAATATCACGCTCTCTCATATTTAAAGCAATGAAAATAAGAATTAGAAGCCAATAAATCAAGAGAGATTGTATGTCGCGTGTTCAGGGATGACAGTCAGGTGTGACATTATAGATGTTTGTTCCAATAAACTCGAGGTTCCACCCAACAAAATAAAGAATTTTCGATTTTCTGAAGCACTTCCACTGATTTTAGTTTTATTTTCTTGATTTAAAAATTCTTAAAACATAAGTTCTTAAAATATCAACAGAAAATTAGATGATTTCCCATTGAATATCATCTATGTTTTACTCTTGTGGCAAAATTCTTTAATATTTTCACTTGTGCTGGCACAATCTGGAAGATATTGAAGTATTTTGTCATACTAGTGAAAATAAATGATGTTCAATGGGAAACGGTTAGATATTCTGTATTAAGATTGTGTTACCATAGTGATGCTGAACACTGAGGTCCCCAGCGTCTATATCCCGGGCTTTCTGGTACCATTCCTCAGCCACCTGTACCATGTTCTGTAGAAAATTTAAAAAAAAATTATCTAACTTTGAACATAATGATTTCAACTCAACTGAATAAGGCGTTTGCAATTTTAAAATGTTTTTTTTAACTTTCAATAGAATATGTACATAAAAGATACAATTGAACTGCAGTTTCAAGGTTTTTCAGATAGAATATATAGAACTAGCTATTTTCCTGTCTTCAAAATCGATTTTTGAATATTGGAATATATGTTTTATCATTATAATTATAATGGAAAGGTTTTTAAATAAATGTGGATTTAAATATTACAAGATTTATTTCTTGTGGTTTTTTTAACTTCAATACTTTTCTAGTTAGTATAATAACTCAATGATCCATAGATTTAATGAATAAGATTTTGTTGTCCTTGATATTTTTTCAGGTCAAGTTTGGCCATGATCAGATTGGGTGTTAAAGTTTTTATACACTTGTGTAAATGACACATAATGCTGTGTGATAATCAAGTTAAAAGATACCTTTTTCTGGAAGAGTTTTGCCATGGTCAGATGGGCAGGGATGTGGTCAGTCTTGACCCTTAGGGCCTCCTTGTACCAGTACTCAGCCTCATCAAACTGAGTGAGTTTTAGGTACACTTCCCCTGCAAAACACGACATTCCATGAATTTACAGACTGGCGAGAGTGAGAAACAGAATCTGGTACGTTTTTATATACTGCTCTTGTGAGATGATGATCTAGAGCTAGTAAGAACACAACATCCAAAACAATCAACTTTTCTATCATCAAGGGTAGATCCCTTCCCCACCTATTTTTATTGAGGTAATGATAAAAGAATGGATGCCCAAAACTAAGGCTATCTCAGTGATGTTCTCTCTGTGAATCTAAGCCTTCTAACAATAAACACATAATGAACATAGACAAATGTAGCATGTTACAGAATTAAAGATTAGTTCAATAGAATGAAAGATCATCTGTGATTGATTATCTGTATTAAAACACTATTATTATTTAACAAAAGACAGATGTTTTTTTCTTCTGTGTCATCAATAGTACAAACAATTTGTTAGATTTATTTAGTTGTTTGGACATCTAACCTCACCATGGGACATTTCCCAGTTTTATAAATATTTAAATGGACTAGTTCGAACAAATCAAACTGAATATTTTTCGATTTTGATCAGCCATTTATTGCCCCCTGTCCTTCCTGAGACCTTTGTATTGGATTCTTACCCATCATATTGTAGATGCTCTGTGGCTGGTAGTAACTTGGCCGCCTCTTTAGCGCCTCCTTGTACATAGCAATAGAATCCTGTCAATAAAATCAGGCCAATACTGTTACACGAATAACATTGATATCTGGGATATAAACACAACAAGAAGCCAATATTCCAATATTTTTTCTAGTGAGATGACATATAAGTTGAAGTCACCCTTGTAAATCTCGATACATCTAAATCTAAATCCCTAAAAAATGAAATGCTAAGGTAACCAATATGCTTGGCCTTTATTATCTAGGACTGGAGGGCTACAGAGCTGAATGTTTTATCATGTTTAAACTATTCGTCTAATTTTCATGGTTACATTTGATATTACAAACTTACAAGACATACAGTAATATGTGTAAATAATTACCATGTTTGGGGGTTCTAATCATTAAGATATTACTGGGTAATCTGATTGAAATACAGATCTTTATTATACACTCTGTTTTACACGTAGGTGTCAACCTCTGAAACCTCCAATGAGTTTGATCACCCTCATTCCTCATCTCCAATGAGTTTGATCACCCTCATTCCTCATCTCCAATGAGTTTGATCACCCTCATTCCTCATCTCCAATGAGTATGATCTCCCTCATTCCTCATCTCCAATGAGTTTGATCTCCCTCATTCCTTATCTCCAATGAGTATAATCTCCCTCATTCCTCATCTCCAATGAGTTTGATCACCCTCATTCCTCATCTCCAATGAGTATGATCTCCCTCATTCCTCATCTCCAATGAGTATGATCTCCCTCATTCCTCATCTCCAATGAGTATGATCACCCTCATACCTCATCTCCAATGAGTTTGATCTCCCTCATTCCTCATCTCCAATGAGTTTCATCGCCCTCATCCCTCATCTCCAATGAGTTTGATCTCCCTCATTCCTCCTCTCCAATGAGTTTGGTCTCCCTCATTCCTCATCTCCAATGAGTATGATCTCCCTCATTCCTCATCTCCAATGAGTATGATCACCCTCATACCTCATCTCCAATGAGTTTGATCTCCCTCATACCTCATCTCCAATGAGTTTGATCTCCCTCATACCTCATCTCCAATGAGTTTGATCTCCCTCATTCCTCATCTCCAATGGGTTTGATCGCCCTCATTCCTCATCTCCAATGAGTATGATCTCCCTCATTCCTCATCTCCAATGAGTATGCTCTCCCTCATTCCTCATCTCCAATGAGTATGCTCTCCCTCATTCCTCATCTCCAATGAGTATGCTCTCCCTCATTCCTCATCTCCAATGAGTATGCTCTCCCTCATTCCTCATCTCCAATGAGTATGCTCTCCCTCATTCCTCATCTCCAATGAGTATGATCGCCCTCATTCCTCATCTCCAATGAGTATGATCACCCTCATACCTCATCTCCAATGAGTTTGATCTCCCTCATACCTCATCTCCAATGAGTTTGATCTCCCTCATTCATCATCTCCAATGAGTTTGATCTCCCTCATTCATCATCTCCAATGAGTTTGATCTCCCTCATTCATCATCTCCAATGAGTTTGATCTCCCTCATTCATCATCTCCAATGAGTTTGATCTCCCTCATTCATCATCTCCAATGAGTTTGATCTCCCTCATTCCTCCTCTCCAATGAGTTTGGTCTCCCTCATTCCTCATCTCCAATGAGTATGATCTCCCTCATTCCTCATCTCCAATGAGTTTGATCTCACTCATTCTTCATCTCCAATGAGTTTGATCACCCTCATTCCTCATCTCCAATGAGTTTGATCACCCTCATTCCTCATTTGTGATCAGGGAGAAATTAAAGTAAGTGTGTAAAACGTGACTGAAACTGCTTTGCTCAATATATCTTTCCCTTTTTATGTATCAAAATAAGCCCAAAAAGCAATAAGTTGATTCAAACACAACTGTTATGATCATTACACACACCCTGCAGTAGCTAGGAGATCATTTGACCACAGGATGTAGATTTTGAGTTTGTGTGAGTTTGCACTTGAATGAGGGAGTTTCAAGGGAGATTGGTAAATTTTGGTCAAATGGAGGGAGGTTTGACAGCTACGTTAAAGCCATAGGTGATAGATTAATATCATGTGTTTTAATCAGATTGTTAAATATAAGTAATAATAAGTATTATGCGATTTTACAACATTTGTACCATACATAATGTTAATCTGACGGAACCTAACATCACAGTTTTCGGGAGTAGATGGTGATGGATGAAGCTGGTCTTTACCTTTGCTGTTTCGCGATACAGTTTAACATCTTAATTTCATTTTTCAATTCTGATTTCATAAATTGAAGAGAGCTGTTAAAATCATGAGAAAAGCCATCTAAAGTCAGGTTATATATACACGCAGGATGACTTTGCCGTTTGATGTAACTAGCTAATTATCTCACCCCGAAATGTTTACAACGTTCATTTAACGTATCAACAGGCAAATAATTATCACCCACAGTTTAGGCATTAAACTATTTACTTTAGATATGTTGCCTAGTGTAGCTTTCAAATTCAACAACACTCAAAACATTCCTTTGTGCACAAGCGAGAGTCAAACATCTTTTTTGTTCCTTTGTATCACATGCGTTTGTGAAATACTAGTTTTACGACATTCAAAAATCAAGCTGTGTGCATGTTGTAGAGAATCAGAATTTTTTTTGTGTGTTTCACATATGTTTGACAACTAAATAGCATCATCATGGTACAACTGTATAATTGTCTGACGGGACATTTTATAGATTACAAGTGTTGATTTCCAGACCAAACAAGATTCTGAGTGACAGGTATTTTACCCTTTCAATGGCATGCCACCGTAACTAAAATAGTCATAAATGTGCACAATTTTTATACGTTTTCTTTAAATTTACATGATTTTATCTGAAGTTAAACAATTTTTGTTTTTAATTTACATTTATTTAAATTGAAAAAAACAATTGAATTTATTTGAAGTTATTACTGGGTAAAATATATAAATATATTCATGCCAAATTTTCTTTTTTTAATCCAGAGGTGTTATTCAGAACAGGTGTGAATAATACTATCCGACAAATGTAGAGTCAAATTTCTCTACAGGTGAACCATACAGCTGGTGGAATGAGGAGGGAACGAATTCTCGACAGGTAAAACATGCACAGGTGAGACGTTGGGGAAACAATATCACTGTACACTTCATTAATATAACTTACATCTGGAACAACTAGACTTAGAATTTGTATAAATCTGATACACACCACGGTGTAATATGTACTTTTCTGTATGATTTATTTATGTCTGTCTCGTATCGTTAACATATAATTAAGTCTCAGGGAATGTTAACTAGACAAGTACTGAATTACTAATACCTTATTGTACAGTTCCCTATATAGAAAACTTCAGAACTGTGCCTGTATCAACTGGATTTGCCCAGTCTTTTATTTGGTAAGGCTCAAATGTGACTTTAGGGGTGAGTGGGTTAATGTTCTAATTTTAAGGATGTCAGTATGAAGGACGTTCCCTTCTAGACTTGTGCAATTAATTGAGTTTTGTACAAGAAACTTCTTTAAGTCAAGCAAACGCAGATTTCTCTGGTAGATTTCTCGCTAACTACATGTTACCAAGTGGTTTACAGCATTATTCAGTACCATACACATATATCGTTTTTTCCAAGCTATTATTTATGGGTTTTTTTATCCAACTAAAATTCAATTTCTCCAGTTGCTTGAAGGTTTTCAAGTATGCTGGTTCAATAAATATAATTCTCTTCTCTTACAGAGGAAATGTTGAGACATTAAATTGCAATCCACATTTTTTATTCAGAGCCCCGCCTCCCCCATAATACAACCATAATGCAGTGTTTTAACACTGACACTGTAATCTCTCCTCCACCTCCCTCGAGCATGCCCTGGTATCCTGTTTTGATATTGACACCTAACTGTAATCTCTCCTCCACCTCCCTCGAGCATGCCCTGGTATCCTGTTTTAACATTGACATATTTTCTATTTCTTTTCTATTACATGGCTAACCTGACAATAACTCATAATGAAGCTGTATTTTTAAAGAAGAATTTTGACTGCTAGATTTTCAAATTGGTTTATCATTTAACAATTATTTATTATTGTAGTAAATCTGTAATTGGGTCAAAATCAATATTGTTTTCATACCATGATAAGGGGTCCAACACCAGTTATGCCCCTATTGCTATCAGCTAAACAGGTCTCAAAAAAGCTGGAAAATAATATAGACCTCCTGGGTGACCTTTTGACTGGTTTCTTTTACGTTTTACCTCCTCTATATGGTAAACGGTTGTTTAGGAAGAATTTAACCTGTTTATAAAGAACACGAGACATCAAAGAAATATTCTGCATACCTGATTCCTGTCCATCTCCGCATAGAGCCGACCTAGGTTATACAAGGCTGAGATCTTGGTGTTTTCATGCAGACGCGGGTCCTTTAGACCTGATGTGTCCAAGTCTGCACAGTGCATGTACACCTGCAAAGAGACAGATACTTCATTTACTAGAATTGGTGCATAATTTATATACAGGTTTTTTTTATAGAAAGTGGGAGTACAGCAATATGTAGGATTTACACAGGATGTTGGAATACTCATGATCAGGGGTCATATTTTACAGGTTCACTGTATTACTATGTTATTAATCATTTCAAGGACATAATTTTTAGCATCAAAATATCTAGCACAGATGTATATTTATATATATGATAATATTATTTGCTTTTTAGACAAACAGACCTTAGTATTTAAATATTTATCTATAAAATATTTTCCAAATAGCGGCCATAAAGACATAATTACCTTTTCTGCTTCTTCGTACCTCGACTGCAGGGCATAGATGATAGCCAGGTTTAGATGGGCCACTGAAATAACAAAAATTAAATTAGGACTAGATTATTCTCAAAGTTAGCACAATAAATCCATATACATGTATCTATCAACAAGTCAATAAGCCTACGGTAATAAAGGGCCTGGGGCATTGTGGGTCATTTTTGGCCTGATAAAAAGTAAAAATTTCAACTTGAATTTATTTATCAATTTATATTATACATATCATACTCTACCATGGCAATGAATTTGCATTGACATGCAAAAATATCCGAAATATGGTGTTTTTGGAAGTTAGCATGCACAATTGAAAGCCTCCCCATGTGACAAACAAAAATTCTTTTCTACGAATGAATACTGGTATGACAATGTCAAATATTTATTTGCTTGGTGCATGCAGAGGCTTTCAAAGATTGAAGAGTAATGAATTTGCTTCAAAATGGACCAATTTGTAACCAAATAGCGCACAGCAGACGATATTTAGACATTTTATTATGAAAATACGGGTTTATGTCTCTCTTTGAAATGCCATATATCTCCCAAGCCAGTTGTCAAATGAATTTAAAATTTCATATTTGCGTACTTCATTTATTCCATATTACGAATATAACTAATTCTAAATCCCTGATGAGGCCGGAAATGCCCCTGAATGCCCTTAGTCCATATTGTGATTTATATTTTAAGGATCCTTGTACAACTGCCTCAGACAGCATGCAGAAGGACAGAGATCCATTCCCATAGCAGCCTGGCACAGTACAGTGGAGCCCAATTAATTCGGCCACCACTACTGTGTATGTTTTGTCTCGTGTGACCATTAATCAAGTTTTGTCTCACCATCTAACCAGAAGTATAGGCTAGTTTAGGGGAAACAGAAGACTGGATTTTAGTTTACATGCAATCTTATATGAGATTTTTCCACCTCTTTTCTGCAGGGGCCTGTGCATGTAATTTTGGGAAACTACTATACATACAAAGCTTGATTTCTGGAAAATAGAGTGATTTTTTTTATTGACACTGGGAAAATACAGCAGAAATTTTCCTGGGGAAGGGGCCTTATGATGGCCCCAAATTCACCTTAAAACAATCACTGGCTGATGATATATCTTTTGTCAAGAGCCCGGAAACCTGCCCATCTCCATAACGTTATACACCGTATAGATACTCTATAGGGAATACAGGTGATAATTGTAGAGAAACATAGCCAGTATAGGGACATACATGGTATATTTTTATACAAATCTCCTTCCATCTCATAGTCCAGCTAGTGTTGCTGAAGATAAATCTGACTGGATTATCAAGATTAGCTCCACTATACATTTGTATATTATACCAGAAGTCAGTTTGCCAAGGAAAAGTATTTTCTTGAATTTAAGTGTTTATATGAGAATTTTCATATTCCCTGTTCTCATATATAGTCTTGTGTAAACTTGAATTTCTTATTCATTAATGTTAAAGAAAATTCAAATAAAAAAAAATGAATTGAAATGATAACTTTGAGAAAATTTGGCACCAGCCAAGTTCCAAATCTTCAGATATATCACATTACAGTTTGATATTCAATCCTGTACATGTGAAATCCTGTACTACCAGTATGCCAATATATTCACCAACAAAAGGCTAGGTCTAAGTTCACTGTGGTATACAGGTATATTGGTAAAGATATTCAAAATATCATGCTGATACAATCTCTAGATTCATTCCCCTGATATCAAATGCATGCAGTCGAGATTTTATCTTTAAATATTGCAATTTTCCAGTTAATTGTTAACATGTCCGACAGTAAAATATCGCAGTGTGAATGTTAAAACCACACAAAAATGCAGCTTCTGTTTTTTCACAGAATATATTTAAAAGATATATAACTTTTATTATTATATTTAATGATAGGTTGAAAATAGATTTCTGGCAGACAGCTATTTAATTACATGGTCACAATAATGTACCTATTGAACTTTTATGTTGAATTTTGACTCCTGGGTGTGGCCCCTTTTATTTTCTGAGGGCCCTAATTCTAAATGAATATAAACACAAACTTATCTGTTTCATTAACAGAAATTCTAGAAATTGTAATCATCAAGAATATAGATAATCTAAAATTCAATTTTTCATATTTTAATTGTTTGCAGTAAAGAAACACGACTGAATCTCATAAAGATTTCATATTACCAGCTATTAATTACTACTAAGTAATCCTTCACTACTTAGTACAGTGTGTGTTTTAACGGAGCATGATCGGAACTAAAACATTTGTCCGCTTTAAACAGGGTCCAGATTTTAAAGTGATGTCAAAAACATTTTAGAAACAGATATTACATGTAAACAGGGATCCCTATCCCACTGCACTCCGATTTTTCAAATATACAGTTACCTCCCCTCAATTTCCAACAAGGTATGTTTTTTTCTTTCTTTTCAGAAATGATTTATCCAAGCTAAAGTCATGCAGGAATAAACAGTTTCCAATACGTAGTACAAGTTTTTGGTACTGGTACGGGAGAACATTTAACATTCTAGTGTAACAATGTAAACAAAAATATAACATATCTAATGTCAGTAAAATAGCATTTTTTGTATTAATAAAGATTAAAGCATAATGATCATTAAAACAATGCCAGTTTTTCCCGAGTAGACAGGGTCCTGATTTAACACAGGGTAGATAGACACTATAATTAAAGATCGGAAAAAGCTCACTTGGACTAAATATCAAATCTGATATAGACAGGGATCCGAATTAGAAAGGGGCCTGTTTATACAGATTATACTGTACTCTTACAACATGGAATCAGTAATTCCTTTTACATTGTTTCTGAAGTACACAGCTAAAAGAATGGAATTTGTCTGTACTATTATTACCATGGTTTTCAGATGTAGCAAATACTTTCATTCTTTTAAAATGTGCAGGAATTCATCAATCTATCTACATTCAGTACTCTCCGGCATTCGATCAAATTCTCCATGAGAACCTAATTAAATGCATTTTGTTATGTAACTCTTCTTGCTAAAGGTAGAAATGTCGGGATAATAGTGTACGATCCTTTGCAGCAGAGAAGAAAGCCAGTCAAACACTTGTTACAGCACAGACTTGTATCATTAATTCTGTTTGAGGGTAGACTTCTCTTTGGTAGGTGTTATGATTACATAAACATAAGCCCAGCTTCAAAGGTCAATTACACCAGGGAAAAAGGCTATGGATCCAGACAACAATAGCTGTATATAAGGACGTGGAGTCTCCCAGGACATAATAAACCAGCAGTTTGGGATACAAATTGGTTAACTTCTACAAATCTATACCCTACCATGTAAGGCAAGCGGTATGCATAGATCAATTTATTGAGCTTGTCCTTTTTACTGTTCTCCGCTTCAAATGGTCCCTGGGATCTGAAGTTCAGTTATACATCAATACAAGCCTTCATAGCTCTGTCAAATAAAGGCTTTAGTAGTCATCTGGTGACTTGGTGGAAACAGCAGTATAGGAGAGATATAACTGGTAACTGCTATGTATAACAATTGCCCCTACACACTTTTTCTGTATAAGAGGTGCCTCCTATAGTAAATGCCCCCTGCATGCTTTCTCTATGTAAGAGGTGCCCCTCTAGATCTATTAACTATCTGTATAACAGATGCCCCCTGCAACGCTTTCCCTGTATAAGATGTGCCCGAGCCCTCTATTTATTATTTCTACAAGAAATGCCCCACATTTTCTAGTAAAAGAGACAGATGCCATCTATTAACTCTGTATAACAGATGCCCCCTATTAACTCTCTGTAGAACAAGTGCCCCTATTAACTCTCCATGTAACAGATGCCACTATTAACTCTCCGTGTAACAGATGCCACTATTAACAACTCTCTGTATAACAGATGCCCCCTATTCACTCACTGTACAACAGATGCCCCCTATTCACTCTCTGTATAACAGATGCCCACTATTAACGCTCTGTAGAACAAGTGCCCCTATTAACTCTTCGTGTAACAGATGCCACTATTCACTCTCTGTATACCAGATACCCCCTATTCACTCTCTGTATAACAGATGTACCCTATTCACTCTATGTATACCAGATACCCCCTATTCACTCTCTGTATAACAGATGCCCCCTATTAACTCTCTGTATAACAGGTGCCCATATTAACTCTCTGTATAACAGATTCCCCCTTTTCACTCTCTGTATAACAGATGCCCCCTATTCACTCTCTGTATACCAGATACCCCCTATTAACTCTCTGTATAACAGGTGCCCATATTCACTCTCTGTATAACAGATTCCCCCTTTTCACTCTCTGTATAACAGATGCCCCCTATTAACTCTCTGTATAACAGATTCCCCCTATTCACTCTCTGTATAAAAGATGCCCCCTATTAACCCTCTGTACAACATCTGCCCCCTATTAACTCTCTGTAACAGGTGCCCCCTGTACCCTTTCTCTGTATAACAAGTGCCCCTATTAACTCTCTGTAAAACAGATGCCCTTTTTTAACTCTCTGCATAACAGGTGCCTCCTATTAACTCTCTATATAACAGGTGCCCCCAATAAACTGTCTGTATAACAGATGCCCCCCTGCATATTTTCCCTGTATAACATATGCCCCCTATTAACTCTCTGTTAAACAGGTGCCCGTATTAACTCTGTAAAACAAATAGCCTCTGCACACGTTTTTATGTAACAGGTGCTCATTACCATTTTTTTTGTCTACCACTGGTGTCGTTGCCCACTTTCCCTGTATCATTTATGTGTGCTTTCTGCCCAGATCACAATATACACTATGTACGTGTCTCTCTGCCCATTCACATGTAATAACAGGTACAACTATATGTTAAGTATATTGCATTCTAGATATTCTCCTATGAATATCCTAGCTTCTTGTCTACATATTCCTAAAAATCTCACATAAGCAGGTTTTTCACACGATAATTGTCCATACTACAGGAACTGCCCCTAGTCATGCAATCTCTATGATACCACAGTTAATTAGCTCTTGGCTCTGTTCTGATCTTCTTCCGTAAGATTAGGTTACCTTACATATACATACATGTGTA